TATATTTCTGTGCAGACAAAATATAGTAAAAAAAATAAAACAGTTAAAATTGCAGCCTGTCAAGCCGTCAAAAATGTACTAAATAGTGTACAATATAAACATTTAACTGCACTGTTTGACAGGTTAGAGCATTTTTTTATTGAGTTTTACTTTCTAACAAATTATTATAAATATTATAATATACTTTCTAACAAATTATTATAAATATTATAATTAGTGGCTCAAATAGGGGAAAACCGCACACTTTTGGTAGGTTAAAACCGCACAATTTTAAAAATTGTCGTATCCAAAAACCGCACAGTTATAATTATGACCCCAAAAAGGTCGATAAACAAAAAATGCATATGTATATGTATAATTAATTATTTGTTCTCATTATTCTCATAGTTCATCAAAAAAAAATTTATATATTTAAAAATTTTAAATATTAATTTTAAAAAAAATGTCAACTTAAAAATGTATATATTCAATAATTTAAAATATTAAAAAAAAAATGTAAAACTAAAAATGTATAAGTATTTCTAAAATTTAAAATATTAATTTAAAAATAATTTAAAACTTTCAAAGTTTGATTGGCTGAAACCGACTGCCGACGTTTTTTAAAAACTTTATACGATCTCCGTCACTTAAAAATTCTATATATGATTTACTATTCTATACTTGATTATTGAATAATACATATCTTATAATCTTATCTTTTCACTATTTTCACTAAAAATAGTGTGCGGTTTTAACCCACTATAAATGTACGGTAATTTGTTATACAATGACCGATAAGCTGTGCGGTTTTTGGCTTTCGACCTTTTTAGGGTCAAAATCAAAAGTGTGCGGTTTTTGGATGCAACCGATTTTCATATTTTTCTGAAGAAGTAATTAGTTTTAATAATTGTGGATGTTCTAAAAGAAATGTATGAAATTCTGTACATGAAACATTTTTAAAATGTTTTTTTACGATTATTATCGATCTAATTGTGTCCACAAGAAATCGATTTTTCTCATCAACCATAAAACATTTGTAATTGAAAATACTCTTTCTACCGACGCGTTAGTTTGTGAAATAGCCATCAAATACTCTAAAATAACCGTAAAATATTTAATTGAAATAGTGTAGGACACTTTTCTTGTGACATAAAATATGATTTCAAAGCAGGATATAAATCTATTATTCTAGAAACAGCTAGCTGTAGAGATAATCAACGCGTTTTTACAGATCCTAAAATATTTTTGTACTCAATACTAACAAAATCACAAAAGTCCTTCAATTTTTCTATACGAACTGTATAAATATGAAAATACTGAAATATTTTATTAATTATGAGTTCAATGTCAGTTGGCAAAATATCAGTACTACTTTGCATAGCATTGTGCAGAATATGAGCAGCACAATACCGGAAATATTTCTTTTTAATTTTTCATTTAGAATTGCAAAAACGTTATTTGTGCATTTTCTTGAGACGCCCCAAAATTTGTATTGCAGTTGTCACCCGAAAATGCAATAACATTATTTAATAAATTATATTTTTTTAAAACATTCAGTATGTAATCTGATAAAATATTTGATGTTTCTCCTTTTAAATTCATAAATTCTAACACTTTAATTTTTACCCCTTCTTGGGGGTTAAAATACCGAATCAGAATTGGAACCAGTTTTAAATTTTTATGGTTTGATGTGGCCACCATAATTGTTAAAAATTTCACGGATTTTAGTTCATCTAACATCTGTTGAATGGGAACTAGTCGAGTGTTCGAATGAATTGTTTTCGAATGAAGAGTGTTCGAACAAACCTATTCGAATGGAAATGTGTTCGAATAGTATTATGTACGAACGTATGTGTTCGAATTGAGTGTTCGAATGGACTTGTGTTCGAATAGTATTATGTACGAAGGTTATATTTTCCTATTTGAACATAATAACGAGTTTCATACGAATATCATTCATAGTCATAGATATAATTCACCTAATAATTTGTTAAAAAGCCAGATAATAGATATTATACTTTTATGATCGCGCGATAAACCAGCCATATTAAATGTATATATGTATAGAAGTGTGTAGTCATCACTCCAATTACTACAACGATATCGGATAATTGAGATTACATTTTATTCGTATCGGAACATTGTGTGCAGTGAACATTGTACCTATATTATGCGGTGCCTTTGATACCGAGACCAAAAATTTGGCATCCGTTAATCAGTGTCCGAGAAACCGTGTAACTAAGTGTACCTACCTATAGTGTTTGTTAGTCGACTGTCGAAATGTCTTGTGTTATTAAATGTGTTACGACAATACACAATAAAGTTATGCTAAATGTCAATAATTATGAGTTTATGTTAAATAAACAAAATACGCGAAAACGAGATAACACCGAAGTATATTATTGGATATGTTCCAAAAAATGTGGCGTGACTTTTAGAACTATTGTTGTAAACAATGAACACATAAAAGATAACTCTTGTGTATTAAAAGAGCACTCTCACGGTCCAGATCCAATCAAAACTGAATGTAAAAAAATTAAAGAAAATATCAAAAAAACTGCAAAAGATCACAAAGATCCGCATAAAATTTATCAAGAACAAATATCCGGTACCTACGCCTTTAATTATTTCATCTCAAATAACTAAAAATATGTCAAAACTACTAATTAAGAGACAAAGAAAAGGAAAATTAACAGAACCGTGCTCTTTGAGAGATTTAAACTTACCACCAGAGTTGAGAAAAACATTATCTGGACAAGAATTTTATATTAAAGATATTGGTAGTGACACAGATAAAATTATTATATTATCTACCATCGAAAACTTACGATATTTAAGTGAGTCTCAATTTTGGTTGGCTGATGGAACTTTCAAGTCTTGCCCTGGACTTTTTAAACAAATTTACACGATACATGGAAATATTAAAAAAGGAAATGGGACTATTTGTGTACCGTTAGTTTTTAGTTTAATGGTCAAGCGAACAGAAAATGCGTACAGAACAATGTTTTTAGAATTAATTAATTTTGCTTTAGAAAATGATATAAATTTAACAAGTAATTCTAATTTAGAAATTATAACAGACTTTGAAAAAGCAGCCATTAATGCGATAAACGATGTATTTCCATCAGCTTTTCACTCGGCTTGTTTTTTTCATTTCTCACAAAATATATACCGACATATTCAAAAAGAAGGTTTGGCAACGAAATACATCGAAAATTTCAATTTCAATCTACTTTGTCGCCATCTTCCAGCATTGGCATTTCTCCCTATAACAAAGGTATTAACTTATCATTTATGTTTTTATACTTTTATTATATCGGATACTAAGTAATTATTTTTATTTTTAACTATCCAAGGTCATCGAAGGTTGGGAAAAAATTAAACCATTATTTTCAAATGACGATCGTGAACAAAAACTGTTGGAATACTTTGAATCAACTTATATTGGAAAACCATTCATGAGATTGCGTGGACGAACCCGAAAACCTCCGATGTTTTCTTCAGAGTTATGGTCAGTTGCTGCACGTGTGGAGGTTGAATTGCCACGAACAACTAACATTGTTGAATCATGGCACAGTCGCCTGAATAAGTAAAATACTATAATTTTTTGGTATTCCAAATATTTTTCCCAATGTTATATTTATTTATAGGTTAACATCCAGGAAGCCAGGTGCATATAAACTGATTACCCAATTTCAGCACATTCAGAACGAGACAGAAAGTTCGATCGAACAGTTGATTCAAAACAGGTTTCCAAAAAAGTTCAAAGAGTCCAAACAACAACGAGAAGAACGTATTAAAAATCTTGTTCTAAGCTGTAAAAACAATGCTGACAATGCTGATTTTAATATTTTAGAATTTTTAAGGGGAATTGCTTATAATTTATCTTTTTAAAACATTTTTTTTTAGATAATATAATATCATATTTAATTGTATAGTTAAGATTAATAATAATAAATAATAATAATAATAATAATAATAATAATAAATAATATTAATAATATTAATAATATTAATAATAAATAATTTTTATACCGAAAAATTACATTTTGTTGATTCCACAATAAAAATAATATTCGAACATTTAAACTTTCTAACAGATAACATTCGAACACTTTTAATTCAGACACACTCATTCACACATAATATTCGAACATTTAAATTTTCTAACATATAAAATTCGAACACTTTTCATTCGTACATATTCATTCGTACACATAACTTTCGAACAAACAACCCCTTGCCCTGTTGAATGGCAAAAGGAGCTATTACATTCACAATAATGTAGGTAAGGGAAGTCGGCAAAACCGATCTGTAACTTCGGGATAAGGATTGCCTCTGAGGAGCGTAGCGTGTCGGGTTCGTGTCGTCGTAGAAGCGTAGGCGGTTTTGGCGACACCCCGGCCGTTGCTTGTGTGCCCGGTCTCCGGACCGGGAACCTCGAGGCGGCCGCGGGCCCGTCGCCGTCCGCCGACCGTGGAACCACCGAGCTTCGGTCGCTGGCCGCGGCGCGGCCGGCCGTCCGCTTGGTGTCGGTTCGCCGTCGCCATGCGGTCCAGCCCCCGCGCCGTCGGTCGCGTAGCCGGATCGACCGCCATGTAACGGTCAACTCAGAACTGTCACGGACCAGGGGAATCCGACTGTCTAATTAAAACAAAGCATCGCGATGGCCCGGGATGGGTGTTGACGCGATGTGATTTCTGCCCAGTGCTCTGAATGTCAACGTGAAGAAATTCAAGCAAGCGCGGGTAAACGGCAGGAGTAACTATGACTCTTTTGATGGCTCGGAACTGAAGCTATGTTCCGAGGAGCCGGCGTCCGTCGCGTTCCTTCGTCGTCCTGACAGCATCCCGTCGTCAGACTTCAAGGATTACGCGCGGATCAGAATAAACGCACTGCCGACTCGCAAACGTGTCAACCGCGGGAAAGCTGGCCCGGTCAGATGCCGGGCCTGCGGCCTCGTGGACGAAACGCTTGCCCACGTATCGCAGACTTGTCAGCGCACGCATGAATCCCGCATTATGAGACACGACTGCCTGGTTAAAAGAATCACAGGTGGTCTTCGTGAGAAGAGGTTCGAAGTGGAAACGGAGCATCTGTACAAGTTACATGGCGGAAATATGAAGCCGGACATCGTCGCGACGATAAGCGACGAGACAAGAGGCCGTATCTCCGTTATATGTGATGTACAAGTCGTTTCAGGCTCCGATCCGGTCACTTGGCACTCTAATAAAATCGATAAGTATAACGATCGAGCGGATCTAAAAACCGCGATCCGCACCCGACACCTATCGACCGAAGTACAAACGGTTGATACCATCACCCACCAGCTGGACGAGATACTTATTAGTAACAACCGTCTGGGCAGGGCCAGTTACAAAGTCCTTGGCAAGTTCGAAGAACAGCGCGACGAACTCCGTTCGCTCCATAGCCACATCAATGACCTCCACTGCGACTTGGGGGCGCAGAGGGAAAAAATCACCCAGTGTTTAAACGAGAAAGAAAACGTCATGGCTGAACTCGCAGCCCTCCACACGATCGGTATTTCTGTCCCGGAGTCGTCGGCCATGCCGCCTAGGCTTATACCTCCACCCGTTGAGTATGTCGACGTGGACGAGGATTGCATCATGGTAGTCAGCCCATCTGGTGCTTCTTACGCTGCTACTGCCGCTGTTAAAAATATAGCGCGCAAGAATAGAAAGAAACGGGAAGAATTCCCACAGCTCGAAACACCGAAAACTCGGATTCCGTTTGGGAGCGCAGCACCCATAAAGAGCAGACTGGGCACGAGAAAGACTTCCAACAGCGGTAAGCAAAAGGCAGTGGTAGCTAGGCAAATGAACATTGCCAGAACCGCCAGGGTTTGTCCTAGATTTGAGGTCAATACGGACTCAGATGGTTGGATAGAGCCCCGAAAATCGGTGGAACAGAAACTTCCTAACCCCAAGGTTAGAACGGTGAGAACCAAGAACGGTGGCTTGGTACTATTCCCCGAGGACGCCGACACCGCAGCTGCTCTACGCCGCACCGGTAACCTTGTCGAAAGGGCTCCACGTCTGCCGAGGGTAATTATAAAGTACGTTGATAGACTTCTCGACAAAGAAGAGATCCCTTGGGCCTTGGGTAAAAACCCTGCACTCGGAATAAGTGATCTTGAGCAAGAAAGAATAAGACCGCTGTTCATGCTTGGTCCCCGTGCCGGCCACACAGTACACTGGGTTATAGAGGTCACCCCAGATACTCTGAAAAAGATCGAGGGCAAATCTGCGTACTTGGGGATGACTAAGTGTAAAATGAAACTTTATGACACAGTCACGCAGTGCTACAACTGCCAAGGATTTGGCCACACCGCCCAAAAATGCAGGGAAGATAAACCCAGGTGCAAACAATGCTCCGAACGTCATGACTCTAGGTCATGCACGGCGCAAACTACAAAAGTGCCCCAATTGTCGCAGTGTGAAGCATAACGCGGCATCAACTAAGTGTCCGGCAAGAGGCAGCCGCAATGAGACGTCTCACCCGCCAGACTGACTTTGGAAGTACAGGTCCTTCCTCAGAGGTGAATGGAGCCGTCCCTCGAACTCATGAATAAACACAATATTATTATACTTCAGCACAACCTGAATCGGGACCGCGCTGCCTCCCACCAGCTACGCGAAGCCTGTAAAAATCAGAAAATCAATTTCCTCTTAGTACAAGAGCCATTAGTAAACAACGGGAAAATATATGCCTTTGAGAGATGCAAATGCCACATTAGCAAAAAATCGGGGGCAGCGGTCATTGTCCTGACTAACCGTTTTCAATGCATTACCCTCAGTACCTTTACGTCAAACTACACGGCTTCTGTTAAAGTATCATACGGCAAAAGGCCTTGTGATCATGTGGTGCTCGTCTCATCGTACTTTAAGTACAACGAGCCGACAACTGCCCACTTGGAACGGCTGAACCAGAGTCATAATTGCCGCAGACACTAACGGTCACTCGCCGCGCTAGCACTCGGTCTCGAGAAATCACCGTGGCAGACTCACCGAACAGCTCATTGATAAACACGACCTCAGAATCCATAACACAGCTGGCCAGTTAAACACTTTCTGCCGCCGAGATAACCGTACCTCAAATATCGATGTTACACTGTCAACAAGTAACATCAGTCATAGCATTGGTGACTGGTCTGTCAACGACTTAACGGACAGCGACCACAGGGTAATTGCCTTCACTATGAAAGTGAACAGAATAGTAAAACCCGCGTCACATGAAAAACGGTATGATCTTAGGACTGCCGACTGGGATCTGTTTCACGCCACGCTCCTTAGCGAAATTGGAAGCATCGCAGAATGTTCCATTGAATCCTCGGCTTTAGGCATTAACCGTGTGCTGGCAACTGCTGCTGATCGTGCGATCCAGCGCAAAAAACCGAGTGGAAACCAAGGTAGGAACATCTGGTGGTCACCCATAATCTCTACGCTCCGACAAACCCTTGTCCGTAAGAGACGAGAAGGACTCAGGAGTAGTGACAGACTTGCGTATAACAGTTTACGGAATGAATTCCTGACTGCAATTAGAAATCATAAATCAGCCGCTTGGAAGTGCTTTGCGGATGGACTGAACGCTAACCCATGGTGCAAAGCATTCAAATGGGCAAAGGGTAGCTATAGCACGAATAATATGCCCAGCTCCAAGACAAAGCCAGACGGATCTCTCACAACTGACTGCAGTGAGACGGCCGAACTCCTGCTGGATACCTTCGTACCCGCAGATCCCGATCTGGCACGTAGCGACATGGATCTTCACGGGCCTACACTAATTAGGGAACCTCCCGGCCCAGATGAAATAAAAGCCGCCATATGGCGCATGCGGCCCACCGGAGCACCTGGCGCAGATGGCATTACCGCAGCCTTACTAAGGAATGCGTGGCCAGCTCTACGTGATCATATCACTAATCTATTTGGCAGATGCCTTCAAGATGGAACATTTCCTGACTGCTGGAAAGTCGCCAAGCTAGTCATTATCCCCAAACCGGGTCGGTCAGACCCTTGTAATGTAAAGTCCTTTAGACCCATTAGCCTACTTCCAGCACTGGGCAAGGCATTGGAAACTCTTATAATTAAAAACATAGGACTGGAGACCAACTTAGACTCCTTTGCAGCACAGCACGGCTTCACTGTTGGCATATCCACAGTTAGTGCTCTGAGCAGTGTACACGAGCGAATCGATGCGTCCAAATCCAGACACATTTTCGGGACATTCCTCGATATCACGGGCGCATTCGATAACGTCAGATGGTCTCCTCTGCTCACTCAAATGCAGAGTCTCGGCGCCTCGCTCGACACTTGGAAAATCGTAAAATCGTACCTCCGCAACAGGTGGGCAGTCCTGGAACTTGAAGGCATCCACTATCGGAGGATGCTCGCTAGGGGATGCCCTCAGGGGTCTCAACTTGGTCCGACCCTTTGGAAGATTGCTATGACTCCAATATACGGCAAAATACCAGAAACTAGTACAATGAAAATTGTCACATACGCTGACGACATTCTCTTAATGGTTGGTGCCGCTAGGCCAAAGACGGCTTTCCAGCGTATAGAAAGAAATTTGGACATTCTCAATGATTGGGCCTTCACGTTTGGCCTCGAGTTCTCCGCCAGCAAAAGCCAACTTCTCTCCCTCAAAGGCGGCTTGAAACCTGGCTACAGTGTACGCTTTGGCACGAGAGCAGACGCTCCTATGATAATGTCCACGGCCACGGCCAAATACCTCGGAGTTTACCTTGACCCGAGACAGAGCTTCTGGGACCACATTGAATATGTGAGCAAAAAATCTAAGAACATGTACTGTCGGATGAGACGACTCCGCTCCTCGAACTGGGGCATGGGACAACTTGCGGCCAGGACCATTTACAGAGGCGTTTTCCTACCCCGTGTCACCTACGCCGCTGAGATATGGGCTTCAGGGACTAAACTTGAAAAAAGCAAAAAGAATATTGCTCAGCGCACAGAGAGCTCCCCTCTTGGCCATGACCGGTGCCTACAACACCGCGTCAACGAACTGCCTTCCAGCAGTTGCAGGCACTATGCCCCTTGATCTGGAAATCAGAATCAGAATTCGATGAAAGTGTTAGCGACCTCTTCGACGAATGGCAGTTACGATACGACACCCTTCCCAAGGGTAACTGGTCAAAGAAAATGATACCTTCGGTCAGATATAGGTACAATCTACAGATGAAGCTGGATCACTACACGACCCAGTTCTTAACTGGCCATGGTGACTTCCGGACAAAATTGTACGGCTTTAAACTCGTCCCAGATCCAATCTGCGAGTGTGACCGGAAACCAGAAACGGTCAACCATGTACTTAGGTTCTGCCCGCGGACGAAAAGTGCCCGAATTAGGCTCAAAAGAGCCCTCAGCGACGAAGGCGTGTCGTGGCCACCGGCGGACGGGGCCTTCCTCAAAAATAAGGCCACATACGAGGCATTAGCAAGATTTGCAAGAGAAGCCCTCACAAACCGCACGGACAGATAGACGCCTCAAGCAAATGGCAAATGACATGAAATATATTCCCATAAGAATTGAAAGGGTTGTTAACCCAATGGGTCAGAACGCTGCCCCGTCTACGACGGAAGGCAAAGTCTCGGGGTGTTCCCGATGATTACGTAAGGCGTAAGTGGCAGAAACGGGGGAACACGCTCGAGCGCGTTCTGGCCCGGGACGTGCTCATACGTCCGGGACGCGGAGTCCGGCCCTGTTGCGAGGGCCGTACAGAATTTCGCATCAGTATTCCCTGCTTGTCGTACAAGGCGACTAAAAGGGAAATGACCAGTCGGGGTCGGCGCCCGGGGCTCGGACGCACCGAAACCTACGGGGATTAGGGCGTTGAGAGGTCAAGACCTCATGAAGAGCGGGTCGGTCACTGGGCTTAGCCACCTGGTGACGCCTCGGTGGCGGTGGTCGAGGTTCTGACCGCAACCTCTTGAAGAGCGGGTCGGTCACTGGGCTTAGCCACCTGGTGACGCCTTTGGGAGGCGGAGTTGGGCCCACCGTGAGCCCGTGGTACACGGCCCAAATCTCGGGAGGACCATAAGCTGAGGCAACTCGCCGACGAAGCTTCGTCCGCGCATCCTACCATTGATGTGCCTTACCTGACGGGAGGCGAGAATGGTGCTTCGGGATGTGAGGGGGCCCCTCGGTGTTGAGAGATTAACAACGAGCCCTCACACGTTGGTCGTGGTGGACACTTCCTCGACCGACGGCGGTTTGGTTTCGAAGTGGCAGTTTTCTGGAGCATACTATGTGGTGATAGGCCACACGCTTGGCCAGGGGAAGGCGGCCGAGTGACTGGAACGGGCGGACTCGTACGGCGACAGTCGGCCGGGAAAGCACGGTCCTCCTTAGCGCTCACCCAGCTTATCGTTGGAGCTATATGCAGCGAAGGTTGTCCGTGACCATATACGGAAAGCAAAGTGGATAGATTGCGGCCTCAACAGGTTGAGCTGACTTGCGACAAGCTGCATCTCACCCAGGACACTTGGCGAACTGACGGACCTTCAATCCCTCGTATTTTTGCGTCAGTGTGAGTGTCCTCGTGAGTGACCACGGTATTGACCCAATATTTTAACGAGGACATTTTATTCTTTTTTTTTTTGTATGTCGGTGTCCTACTCACGAGGACACCACTTTGGCGGCAATATTTTTCCAAATGTTTGAAAATCAAAATTCATGGGCCAAGACCGGGTGGTCATCCGCGGTCTGGACTTAGAACATTTTTCTGAAAAATCGATGTCTCACTCACGAGGACACATTCTGGGAATTCGCAGGATTGAAGTCGGGCTTCATTTTTTCTCGAACGCCGAAACCGTTCAAAGTCGTCCTACGGGGAGACGACCCGCGGTCAAGGGAAAGTCGCCGGGTAGCTGGGAGTCGTCACCGTGATATTTTTTCTCAACAATCGATAACTGGATATCTGAAAACGGATTCCGGCGGACGAGGACCACCCGACGTCAACCCCGGAGACGGCGACGGGGAAAAATGCATTTCAACAGTTCAATCCCGAAATTCCACGACCGTGTCCCCGTGAGATTTTCGATATTTTTCGGAAGTCAACTTTGCGAGTTTTCATCCGACTTCTTTGAAACTTTCAAACCTGATAGATAATTGAAAAAAAATCGTGAATGAACAGAGGTGGAATAGAGCTAGGACGAATATTAAACGAGATATAGTGGTAGGAAATAGTTGAAAGTGAATTCGACTTCGGACGTGAGTACCGGGGAGTCGGTTCGCAAACCAGCCGGACACTTCAGATTTCACCGTGCATCGTTCCATCCTCCTTTTCCCCAAGATATTGTCACCGTCAGTCTGTCATTCCCGAGATTGAACCCTACGATCCGAGGTTCCCCGACGGCGTGTCCCCGTCAATCGGCCATTCCCGAGGTTGAACGCAACCACATGTTGATTCACTAAATTCTTATCGCTCTTAATCCTGTGATATTTTACACGATGATTTCCGACGGGTGTCACAGAATCGATGACAGATTGTCGGGGACAAATCCAGGGAATTCACAGGTTGAATGGGGATATTAATTTTTTCTCCATTCGGTCCCCGGGGTTGACTTTCCCCGGACACGTACTGTCGGAATACAGCTTTTCAAAACTACAATTTGGCAAATACACGCGTACATCGACTATGTCGGTGTGTAGCGGTACGTCTTCCTACGGGGAGACGAACCGCGGTCAACGGACAGTCGCAGGGTAGATGGGAACCGCGACCGTGTAAAAAAAATTCGTGCGTAGTAGTACGGTCATCTACGGGGAGACGACACGCGATCAAGGGAGAGTCGCCGGGTACCTGGGATTCGTCACCGCGGTCCGTGATATTTTTTCTCAACAATCGATAACCGGATATCTGAAAATGGATTCCGGCGGACGAGGACCACCCGACGTCAACCCCGGAGACGGCGCCTGCATAGAATACGTTTAAAAGCTTCAATCCCGAAATTCTCGAACCGCGTCCCCGTGAGATTTTCGATATTTTTCGGAAGTCAACTTTGCGAGCTTTCAACCGACGGCTTTGAAACTTTCAAAACTGATTCAAAATCGAAAATGAAAAGTAAATGGACAGAGGTTACTAACGACTAGGACCAATATTAAGCGAGATATCTAGGTTGAAAAAAGTTCGCAGACGATCTATCGTCATATACGAGTAACGGGGCGTCGGTCGGCCGACCACCCGTACCTTTTGAATTTCACCGTGTATCGTTCATTATTGTACCCGTCAGTAGGTCTTCGGAAGAAATTCCCCGGATTTTCGGTTGCGACGTTGCCACAGCAGTGATCGATCGCAGCCTGTCGACAAAAAATTCATAAGTCCGAGACAGACTGACGGGGACAAAATCTGCGAATTCGCAGGATTGAGGTCCACCTGTTGATTCAAAAAGATTTCTTATCGGCAGAGACCCATTCACGGGGACAAAATCTGCGAATTCGCAGGATGAATTTTTTGTCGACAGGCTGCGATCGATCACTGCTGTGGCAACGTCGCAACCGAAAATCCGGGGAATTTCTTCCGAAGACCTACTGACGGGTACAATAATGAACGATACCCTAAAATTCCCTAATTATGTCCTCGTGAGTCGGTCTTCGAATTTTGATATTTTCACCAACGGCCTGCTACCGTCTCGAAATTTTCCTTCAGAGACCGCATAAGAGGGACAATGTCAACCCCGAAGACCCCGTTGAAAAAAAATGAATACTCCGCTTCAACCCACGAAATTCCCGAATATTGTCCCCGTGAGTTGATTTTCGAAATTTTTTTTTTCCTTACAATGAGACCTCATGACGGGGACAATTTCAACAGCGCTAGTGTCTTGGAGTTGATTTCGATCAATATTCGAAAATTTTGCTACCCGAACCGCCGTCGTCGTTGTAGCGCTAGTGTCGCGAACGAAATACGAAAATGTTGCTACCCGAAACTCCGTCGTCGATCGCAGCGCTAGTGTCGCGAACGAAATACGAAAATTTTGCTACGAGAACCGCTGTCTTCGAATTTTTATATTTTTATCGAACGTCAATCTCGATTTTTTCGTATTGAGACCTCTAGTGAGGGATAATGTCAACCCCGAAGACGGCATCGCAAAAAAATGAATACCCTGCTTCAATCCTCGAAATTCCATAATTATGTCCTCGTGAGTCGGTCTTCGAAATTTTTTTTTTCCTTACCTGGCAATGAGACCTCATGACGGTGACAATTTCAACAGCGCTAGTGTCTCGGAGTTGATTTCGATCAATATTCGAAAATTTTGCTACCCGAACCGCCGTCGTCGATCGCAGCGCTATTGTCGCAGCCTCTGGTTCCGCGTTATTTTTCTTGTTCCTACAAGTAAGCGTATGTTTTTACTTGGCATTATAGATCATGTCGTCGAGAGTGAACGTACAGAACGCTCTGAACTCGATATCCATGGGGGCATTGTCGATTGGGCAGGCAGCCCGTCAACACCATGTCCCGGAAACTACCCTCAGGGAACTTGTGAAGAAATTACGAATTGTTCCGAAAAAAGTAAGTTTTTATGGTCTCTTTTGCAATAAACGGTTTTATAATTGTGTTCCTAAAAATGTATAGGCATCCAGAGGCTATGTAAAAACTGAAAATAATCAACAGCTTTCGAGAGCTATCGAACTTGTTCATAAGAACAAGTATGCCGTAAATTTAGCTTCCCGAAAGGCAAACGTACCACGTACGACACTGGGCAAGGCTCTAAAAATTTTTGAAAAGATTAAAGGTGAATAGAAATTTTTTTTTACAGTATGAATTATTGAGTTATATCTTTTTATTAAAATATTAGGGTCTCTTCCATCCCCTTCAGGGGCTATAACTCCGAGTGTGGTTTTAGAGACTTCCGTACCAGAACCCAGGAGAAAGCTCGTCAAAAAAGGTAACGGTGACATTTTTCTTTTTAACGAATGCATTATTGAGTTGTATATTTCCGCAGGAATGGAAAAGCTTGTGGTTTTAGAGACTTTCATACCGGAACATGGCCAAAAACACGTCGAGAAAGGTAACGGTAACATTTTTCTTTTTAACGAATGCATTATTGAGTTGTATCTTTCCGCAGGAATGCAAAAGCTTGTGGTTTTAGAGACTTCCGTACCGGAACATTGCGAAAACCTCGTCGAGAAAGGTAACGGTAACATTTTTCTTTTTAACGAAGGCATTATTGAGTTGTATCTTTCCGCAGGAATGGAAAAGCTTGTAGTTTTGGAGACTCCCGTACCGGAACCCAGGAGAAAGCTCGTCAAAAAAGGTAACATAATTAATAACGTATTATGATTAATAGTTTTAGTCATAAACTATAATCGCTTATTGATATGTTTTTTTTTTTAGTTTTGAAATTCAAAGGGAAAAAATGCAAACGGGTCAAGCGCTTGGTGGAGGTCCACGAGCGCTCGGCGTATTATCCGAGAAAACCCGCTTATGGTATAATGACTTTTAAATATAATTATTTGACTTTTCTGTGAAATAACGTATTATGTGTGATGCAATATTTTATAGATGAAGAACCTATGCAAGACCGTGAGGAGGTTGCTGATGAGGAACCTAAGCAAGACTGTGCGGAGGTTGCTGATGAGGAACCTAAGCAAGACTGTGCGGAGGTTGCTGATGAGGAACCTAAGCAAGACTGTGCGGAGGTTGCTGATGAGGAGCCCGAAGTCGAAGAGCAGGTTATCACTGGGCCAATGATGCCGATCAACACATATGTAAGGTTTTTAGAAGACGTGAATTACACACCCGTCGTTGTGGATGACCAGCCCTAATGGTGTGCACCAAAAACCGTAAGTGTTATCTTCGTGAATTTATTTATACATTTTATAATAACGTATTAATTTACAGCTAACGAAAATTCCGTGGATGAAGATCCGTAGGCCTTCGTCGAGGACGAGCCGGGTATGTACCGTTTATACTCTCCTAACGAGTTTACGATTTTTATTTAACGTTATCGTTTCAGAGTTAGAACACTTTAATTGTGTCCCGGGATATATGTCGAGCAAACTTGAGGTGGACAAGGTTTACACACCATCTCCACCTCATCTCGAGGAAATTCCGCGATCGTCTCCGGTCATGAGTCGCTGTCATTTACGTCCGTCGTGGCTGTCGAGAGAGACGGCTTATTGGTCAACGTTGAAAACCGTAAGTGTTATTCTCAAGAATTGTTTTATACATTTCATAATCTTATTAATTTACAGATGATGTCGCTCTGGTTGACGAAGAACAATGGAAGTTAGTCCCGGGCACGTCGAGGGACACGGCATTTTCACGTGCCTCATTTGAACGGCAACAGTCGTCGAATTCGTCGTCGGCCACCGAATCGTTGTCTGCGGTGATCGGAAAGAAGAGTCCCCTGCAATATAACCACAGTAGCGAAGACGACGATGATGTCGAATTCAGCTGTGGCAGAAAACGAAGGCTGAATGTCACAGAACGCTACAAAAACGTTATTAGCAATAAAGTGAGTATCACTTTCTACACGCACTGTGGTTAACGTAGAGGGTCGTGAAAATTAACCACGATATTTTTTTGTGTTTCAGTTGACGAAATACTGCCCAATTTGTAACTACAAGACCGACGATAATAAGCTGACCAGCTATTTATTGAGCTGTTTGATCGTATGACGGTGGAGGCGGATACTCTGCCGGAGAACGCCGATGTCAGATTAGCCTGGTGGAGGAAGACGTGCCTAGAAATATGATTGGTCTCGAGGAGCAGTTTGGCGATGAACGAGACGTGGACGTGGCATCTGAAAAAGGGGCGTCGGCGTTTCAGAGAATGGTAAGTCTCGCTTCGACGACGGTCCGGATGGACCGCGATGACACCACTCACGAGCTTGGATATTTTTTGTTTCAGATCAGCAAATGGTGGAGGAAGGCCACTCTAGGCCTTGCCGTCCAGGTGCTCTGGCTGTCAAAGCACCGCAGCGGCGTCGTCACAGACATGTTGCTCAGTGAGTGGGAGAGCCGCAAACTCGAAGACGGGAAGACGATAATAACCGTTTCAAAGCATAAGACCGGCGACCGGGAGCCCGCACTCGTCGTGCTCGGCTCGGAAATGGCTGAACAAATGGACAGGTAATATATGGTGAACCGCTTACCATCGCCGACCTGACCTAACCGCATGTGTTTTTGGGTGTTCGCAGGTACTATCGACTCCAATGTCGGATGATAATTGCGGCAAAAGAGTTCTTTGTCAGCAACAAGGGCGTCCGTGTGTTGAAACTCTATGACGATATTAACAAAATTTATAAGTCGAAGTTGTCGGCCAGCACATTCAGAAAGATGGTGGAGAGTAAGGCCAGAGGACATGGTAATGAAACGTGTAGTGGTGTGGCCAAGGCCCTTCAGCACTCCCAAGACACCGCGTTAAGGCACTACCAGGTGCCGGATACACAAGAGGCCATCCGGAGGCAAAGGCACATCGATATCGTTGATCAAACAACAGCATTTGAAGACACGGTTGCCAAAGAGTGAGTGAATGCGCGACTTGCATACACTCCTGAGACAGAATAATGAGGTCACGATATGTGTTTCAGGTTCCAAAATATCTTTCCGTTCGAGGCCTACTCCAATCTAACGGACGCTGTTGTAATGGAAAAACTATTGGACTCTGATGCTTACGCGGAGCACCAACCCGCGAACATTTCCAACGCTTTCATCGCTAAAGTGAAGGGCAGGTATAACGACGAGGTGTTCCATGACAGGGTGGACATTCTCGTAGATTTGTTGCGGCCGGACTACGATAAAGATAACATATCGAAACAGGCAGTTATCGACGTGGCCAGACGCTACAAAGTACATTATTTTCTGTCACACGATCCAGAAAAACTGGTGCGTAAGGTAATCGGTAAGTTCCGATAGACATCCGATAGCATAATATGATATAGCCGGATGTAGAGTGGATTAGGCCTACTGGGGAACCACTATAAAAAAACGCGCTATAGCTGTACCCCTTGGGTAGTGTGGAAATCAGCATTCGAACGTCGCGTAAATGGGAAATTGGTGGACAAAAGATCGGCGATGCCAGTGTAATGAACGCAGAACAGATGTGGTAAGGTCATCTAAGATTAAAAGTACCTGTGTATAAACGTTTATGATAATCTACATTTAATACGATCTTTTTTCAGCTACGAGATCGCGACGGCCATGCACCCGGGAACTCTCCCTTCAACGTTGCCCGTCAACGGGCACTCACCCTGTTACCATATAAACAGTTGACAGTTCAGTTGAAATTTGAAATAATAAAACGCATCCGCAATGCCCTGGTACTAGCTGAATTTCCCCACTACCCGAGGGGTATCAGCTACATTGCGTTTTTTTTTTAAGGGCCCCAAGAGGCCTAATCCACTGACGGTCCCACGTCTGTAGTTTTTTTATCGTCTAAAACCACGGATGTCATTTAGTACTTAGTATTTTTTCCTCGCCATTTCCAGTATCCTAAAAAACATTCCATTATAATACATTTAAATGATACTCTTTAGACTTACTTCCACGCCCGGGTATTAGAATTGCCCGGTTATACAAACGTAACATTATAAATTATTTAGAATGGAATAAAAGTTTTCGAAAATACACACTTGGAGAGGAGACTGTTCCCTCGCTGTCTCTCGTCCGGCCGGTGACGATGGCGATGCAAAATTGACCATCCTCAGCCTGGCATCGACTGGCATTGGCTGTGTAATGACGGAGTGTCATCAGATCCGCTGGCTGGAGACGGCGAACGTGACCACCAATACATCACACTATCCGCCGGTGATGGTGATCTTGTCACCCAGTACACGGTGCCTAAAAAAATAAATAACCATTACAATGACGCTCTGTGTAAAAATGATGTACATACTTTCTTCATCAGACGACGACATTTTATGAGGCCTTAGTAACGACAAAACAAAAAGACACCAAAAGCCACTGGCAAGACTTATTGGCAATTGACGCCGTCGCACTGAAGTGCACCCATATTTATAGACAGACGCAGCGACACTACCGCTTCGACACTAGCGCTGTTCACATTGTCCCTGGGTATTGATAAAACAATATACGTCCCCGCGCAGTGGTTCGGCTGCTAAAATTATTTATTTTCTAACGGTGGAGGTCCGGGGAATGTCAAGCCCGTCGAAGGCGACGACATAAAACGAACAAACGCCTTCAATCTACGAATTCCCCGACATTGTCCCCGTGAGTCGGTCATGGGAAAATATTAATCGTCCTTATTCTCGTCGGACCGTCCAGAATATTCAGGATTAGATAATCGGGCGGCCGATAAGAAGTGTTTTGAATCAACAGGTTGACATCAATGCCGGGAATTTCAAATGATGACTTACTTACGGGGACATCGTCACGGGGGAAACCAACGACACGGTTGCAGGCTCATGATAAGAATTTTTTTGAATCGACAGGTGGTCTTCAATCTCGGGATCTTCGGTGACAGACTCAATCACGGGGACAATACCTTGGGGAAAAGGAGGATGGAACGATGCACGGTGAAATCCAAAGTGTCCGGGTGGTTTGCGGACCGACTCCCCGGTACGCACGTCCGAAGTAGAATTCATTTTAAACTATTTCCTACCACTATATCTCGTTTAATATTCGTCCTAGCTCTATTCCACCTCTGTCCATTCGGGTTTCTTTTACAATTAACTATCACGTTTGAAAGTTTCAAAGTCGTCGGATGAAAACTCGCAAAGTTGACTTCCGAAAAACACCCGAAATCTCACGGGGACATTGTTAGGGAATTTCGGGATTGAACGTTTTGAATCGGTATTTGACGGTAGCCATCGACAGGGTTGACATCGGGCGGTCCACGTCCGCCGGATTCCGTTTTCATATGTCCGGTTATCGATTGTTGAGAAATATCACGGACCGCGGTGACAGCTACCCGGCGAATCTCCCTTGACGGCGGGCAGATTTATTAGAGTTGCCGCCCTCTCCTATGACTTCACCATCATTACCATCAGCTTCGCCGCAACCTCTTTTACCAGTGAGATCGCCGCCACCGACTACCGACCCGTATGAGTTTGTCATTAGTGACCCGGGTAAGTTATTGACCCATACTAATTGAGAATTCATTACCTAATTCATCACTTTTCAGAGTTTGAGTCACCGTCTGGTCAAGTTTCGACGGATATGTTGGGCATGTTATCCGAGCCCGTGGATGTCGGTGTGGATTCAGATGAAGAAAGATTAAGACCACGGAGACTAAATGTTGCGGAACGCAAAGCACTGAATGTCTATACTCAGGTATGTGTGTTTACTTATCTAAATCGAAATTGTTATTATGATTCGTTTTGTGCCGTAGATGGTTAAATATTGTCTGCTTTGTGACTTCATGACTGTTGGCCATAAGCTTGGGAGGCACCTTGAAAACCGCCACAGGTCGCAGATAAAAAAGCCCCGAGACCTCAACATTAGGAAGATATGCCAACACATTGCCTCGGAATCCCGCAAGTCCTATTCCGTTGTCCCATTGCGGGTGATAGAAAAGAAGTTGGGCTCATATTGGGATGACAGGTGCTTCAGAAGCATCGCCCACGAGTAAATTGTGCAATATATCAATATTTTTTAGCACCATGGTTAATTTGTTGTTTCCGTTTCAGACTCACGACCATGGGAAGGATGAAGACTTATGGCGGAAGTTGGAATCTTCCTGGTGTATCAGATACGTCAAACCCATTTGAATGTTTTTTCACCGATAGCGATTTCGGTCACGATACACTGGTGAAGAATGTATTTGCGACACCGGCGGTGCCAGTCCTTCCAATACCGGAAACCTCCGGCGTAACCATTTCAATATCTGGACCTTCAGGCACATCAGGCAGACCAGCCACCCCGGAAAACATAATGATGACAAAAACAAATGTACCATCTTCGGAATCGTGAGTATTGTCTAATAAATAGTTCTAGTCGAAACCTTCGATTAAGGTTTTTTTTATTAATTTAAAGCCTTAATGTCTTATTTAATTTTTTAACTTTATTTTCAGGAAATTGCGCAAGGCTTCGGAAGCTTTAGGTCTTAACCATCAGCTTCCATCCAATCATCCATTGATTGTAATGTTCAGAAAGACGTTGGAAATTAGCCACGGGAATAATTCACAAGCAGCAACCAATTACGTATCCAATGTTTTGCGGGTGTTGTGCTACGTGCACCAACAACTGGCCGCCAATAATTTACCACCGAAACATTGGGCGGATCTGGTTACGGCCGATGTGGAATTTTACATCGACTTCTTTCGACGGTAAGGACTCGTTGGACGATTAAATAATGATTGATTCGTAAACTATTTATTTATTTTTCGATTTTGTACACAGACGAGAGGAAATCGGGCAGACCAAGGCTACGACGATAAATTATATGAAAAACTTACGGCTACTATTTTCAAACATCATGAAATCCTTTATATACGAGGACCAGTCGTTCCCGAAAGGGTTCGATCTGTTGCCGTGTGTACATACCATCACCAACATCAAGCTTTTAGAGCACAAGCTGGGACTCTTATATAATAGGACTACAAAGCAGCAGCCAACGGAAATGTTTGCGAGGAAAACAACAGAAGGCGAGAATTTGCCAGATTACTCAAAGGTAGTCGAGTCGATAGTTAATATTTGTGAGACAATGCCCACTAATCTTACGCTGCTGGAGCAAAAGTTTTCGAATTTGGGAACAGTCGTCGTACGCAGCGAGAAAAACAGCGCCCCTGCAGAAAAACAAGTTAGTTATAGTGTTACACTCGCCTGGAAAACCTTTACCGGTTTTTTTTATTTTTCAGCTTTCAAACCTTTGGCGTAAGGTGACGTGTGGTCTGGCCATTAATTTATTATGGACCTCGAAGCAGAGGAGTGGTGTCGCAGTGAACATGGTGATTAGAGAGTGGGAATCGCGTAAAACCCACAACACTAATTCAATAGTGACAGTGACAAACCACAAGACTGGCGACAAAGAACCCGCGACCATCGTTTTCAACGAACACATGACGGATTTGATGGAGAGGTAATCAGTTGTTAAGATGTGAATTCACGTGATCGAATCCTTATCTATGTCTTCTGTTGTCAGATATTACCGCCTTCGCCTTTGAACAGGATACACACGGAACAACTTTTTTGTTACCAACAGAGGAGATAAAATCGCAAAGATATACGATGACCTGAACAAGACCTTCGGAGCAAAATTGTCCGCTTGTATTTTCGGAGAATGGTGGAAACGATGGGAAGATTACATGATCAGACGACATCGACGGGCATCGCGAAGGTCCTACAGCACTCTGAGGAGACTGCTTTAAGGTACTATCGCGTACCCGACACATCTGAGGCCGTAAGGCGGCATGAACTCATTGAAGTAGTAGACCACACTTCATTGGTTAAAAACTATGTCGATAGCCAGTAAGTAATAAAACTAACGTCTCTCACTTGAATCACATTTCAACCAATGTATCTCACTAACCGGTAATTTTCTTTTAGCTTTGAAAACTTCTTTCCATTAGTTCCGTACAGTGCCTTTCCGCAACCAGAAATGGCCAAACAGAGAATCGTAGATGGGGACATTGTGGCGCTGTATCCATCGGCCGTCATAGACCTGGACTACGTGAGCAGGTTGCGTGACAGGTTCGATGCAACTGTATTGGAAGAGCGAGTTCAAATTCTTTTTGACGAGGTTCGTGCCGCCGGATACCCGAGGCACAACGTAGGGGAGCATAGCATCATTGACACGGCTAGACACAGAAAGATACACTTCTTTTTCAGCAATTTGAACTACCGAAAGAAAATTGTTCAGAAGATAATCAGCAAGATTAAAAACGTGTGAAAGCGTACGTTTAATTATCGCGTGTTAATTAAAATATTCCATTGTTATGGACTAGAGGATTAGGCCTCTTGGGGAAACCACTTTAAAAAAAACGTGCTGCAGCTGATACCCCTTGGGTAGTATGGAAATTCAGCTAGTACCAGGTTTACGTTGAATCGTTTCGGCGTCTTGGGGCCGAATTTTTCTCGTCCAATATTTTCGGAATACGTGAAAAAGAGTGAATTTTTCTATGAAGGTAATATTTTCTCACTGTGCCTATCTACTATCTAGCACGACCAAAGCCAAGCGAACGTCAAGGGCGTAAATATTATACCGTCGATGACCGGAATTTTCGAAAAAATATGATTGAATTGATGGTTGATGGAAAATTTTTGACTCCCAGGAGTTCTTTGTGAACAACAAAAGCCAGCGATTGGTAAAAATATATGATGAAATAAACAAGATTTACCATTCAAAGTTGTAAGTTGTCGGCCTGCATATTCCGGTGGATGGTGGAGAGCCAAAGCAGGGATCACGACCGGGAGACCTGCAGCGGGATGGCAAAGGCTCTCCAGCACTCCAAGGATACAGCACTTAGATATTACCAGGTTCCAGATGCCAGGGAAGCTTTGCGGAGGCAGCGTCACATCGACGTTATCGACGAGACCGTTGCCTTTGAGGACAGCCTATTAAACGAGTGAGTAAATTCGCGACTTGCGACTTATGCCCAAAACATAAAATTGACGTCAATTTGTGTTTCAGGTTCGACAGTCTGTTTCCTCCGGTGCCATACGCTAGTTGGAACGAGGACGGCATACGCGAGAGGCTGTTGGATTCGGATGCGTATGCGGCGCATCCTATGGCCAACTTGACTGACGCGCTCATTCAGCGCATCAAGGCACGTTTTAACGATGAGGTATTTGAGCAAAGGGCAGAAATTCTTGAGCGACACCTCCATCAAGAATACAACCGTGATAACATCACAAAATATGCCGTCATCGATGTCTCGAAGCGGCATAAGCTGCATTACTTTCCGGCAAGCGACCAGGACAAAATGTGCCACAAGGTAATCAGCATGTTGAAGTAGATGACGTGGGAACGTCAGTGGAGTCAACCACTTTAAAAAAAACTGATGACGTTGGGACGTCAGTGGATTAGGCCTCTTGGGGAAACCACTTAAAAAAAAACGCGCTGTAGCTGATACCAATTGGGTAGTGTGGAAATTCAGCTAGAATTGCGGCTGACACTTAAACAATATGTTCGTTTGAAATGTGGAGCCGAAAAAAAGAAAACCATATACGGGCATTATGCAGCAAACGATATTTCATGTGACTCTTGGAAAACTTCGAAGAAAAATCCTAAATAACTGGTAAATGAAAAATAATATGCATTCATCTTACGAAGCAGGTTGTAGGGATCAATTTTATTTCTGAAGACTTTTGAAATATCTCTCACGGTTTTCCCGGAAAACAGTTCGTAAACGAGAATTTTCAGTTTCTGAAATTTTCAATTTCCATTCACGTTTTATCGGTCACCTGGTGATCCAACGACAATGTGGAACCTAACCTTACCTAACCTAACCTGTAACGACCACCGACCCTCTCATAGTTAGAAAATCTCGAGTTTCACAATATGCAACGATGATATGCACGCGTAGTGGTATGGCGAAGAATTTTTACAGGGCGAATACATCAGTTCAAGGGGACGTTTTCACATTCGATTACCGTGCTTTTCAAGCAGGGCGATTCAATCAGTTCAAGGGGACGTTTCAACATCCGATTACCGTGCATTTCAACCAGGGCGATTTCAATCGAATTTTGATTTTAAAATCCTCTGACCAAATTATGGTTCACATTTTGTACGAGCACATGAATATTTTTTTTATAATTGATGTTGTACAATCCATAGACCTGAATGAATGATTGTGTATGATGGTATAATATGCAAAAGACCCTCTTCCGCCGCAATACATTTGCTTTCATTTGTTGACTGTACATTAATGAAAAAATTCGTTACTTTATTTGAAGAACTGCTTGATACGGCCAATAAATGTTTCTTTTGTTTAACATGTTGTGGAATATCTGAACGACCACCGTTTTCTATTGAAAAAACTGATTTGCATACAATACATAAAACTTTTCCGATTTCATCACTAGCTCTTAAAAACGGAAATTCAACTTTCAAGCTGGGAGTAAATACGCACTTTCGCTTAGGCATTTTAATAGATTACTTTCCTAAAATTGTAAAATATTATATTAACGATTATCAACAAGTCGACAACACTCAACGATTGTTGGAACCAAACTTATAGCTATTCGCTATTCGCCGTATTCACAAAACGTATTTTCAGTGATATAAATAGATAGAATATAACGGTAAATCCGATACCTCCGATAAGCTCCTATAACTCGTAGACATATCGTCATACCCCACACTGATAAATTCAGACAATTACAAGATTAAAATTATAATCATTATTCATTACTTTCGTAAGTTTCGTTTTTAAATTCATTAATTTTGTTTGATCAAAAAACAGGACAAAAAGCGTCCTGAAAGAAGTTTGTCAGGACACCAGGACACAACGCTGAAATAAAGGACAATCCTGTAAAAAAAACAGGACGTATGGTCACCCTATAATAATCACAAGTATTAACGTAGCACAAGCATTTTTCTAAGTTAATTAACATTTGAGTTATCTATTAACTAAAATAAACGTGTGCATTTTATGTATCCATATATATAAAATCCAAATACCACTGACTCACTTAACTCACTGTACATATCTCAAAAACCACTCAACGTACGGACTTGAAATTTGTAATAGTGGTTTATCTAATACTTTAACCGTGCAATAATAAAGGATTGTCCGAAATTCGCATTTTAAAGAAGTGCTCAAACAGGGATCTTAAGGTTCATGACGGAAATTGGAAATCGTATTTTTATTTATTTTATAAATAGTTGCCATTGGTTTCAGTGTCCAGTATAAATTAGTATATATTTATTATTAGTTTCCATTGGTCATCTGGGTAGCTCAGGTACAAGCTAGCACCAAATCAAATTATTGAACATTGCCATCAAGGTGACCTTTGTTTTACCAGGGTGGCTGAGTTGCACTTACTGCAGCGAGTTATACCCAAAAGGAGTTGAACAAACATAATTTTTTTAAGAGTTGCAATTTTTAACAGGCAACGGAGTGGCAGGGGTTCATCTAGTATAATATAAAGTATAAAATAATATATAATTATCATATCTGAATGGAACCCACCAAAAATATAACGGCGAATGATTCAAACACTAAAATTTAGCTGAGAGATGGGGCTGGGGTTCCAGCGTTTTTAAAGTATTTGTGATTGCCCCCTAACGATGATCGTACTAATTTTAAAAACGGTCTTACAAATTCATACAAATTACCTACTAAAATTGTATATGTAGGAACAGTTTTGAAAATGAGTAGACACTTTTTATTATACGATGACACGTTTATTCATTTAATATAATAATAATATGGTTATCACAGAAAAATATTGTCACGCGTGTGATGTCGACCACGGTCCGGCAAAAGCTTTTTTCCCGACCGCCGCACAGTGGGATGAAACCTATTTTCAGCTTGCCAAAAGTCAATTTTTGAAACGTTTCACAATTGATCGATTATCATAAATTATTTTTCTCTACTAAATTTATGTTGTATTTATAGTCTTAATAATAATTTTAAGTAACCCATCCACGAATTACACGAATTTGACTACGTAATATTATATTAATTTATTTAATATTTTAATTTTATAGTAAACAACTTTGATGTATTTTTTAAGGGTTTATCCAACTGAAATCGGTTTAATGTCATTATATTTTAATTTAGTCATATTTTCACTAAATTTGAACATTATATACTTGTCTCAAAATTATATATTTTGTATTTTTTTTTTGACAATCAAATATTTAATAGTTATGATTATTATAGATAACCCAATTTCAATAGGCTGTGAATTAAATTTACTTAATTTTACCACTATCTGACCTATTTCAATTTATAAATAATGTTCTTGCGTTTAAAAATAACTATAATTCATTTGCCTTTATCTGCCCCTCTTAATTTTAGGGGATTTAATTTAGAGATGCACAATATACGGATCACTGAACTACGCGTGGCGTTACAGCCTATATTTATTAATAATCGTTGTCCACGGCCGTTATCGATTAGTATTTACTTTTTAATGATTAAACAGGTCGTATTGTAAGGCTGGGAACACACGGGCGTTATTTTACCACGCGACATTTTTACCGCGCTGTAATTTTACGGCGTGTTTTGTTAAAATACATTAAAATGAATAGAGCACAACACACGAGTGTCGCGCCGTAAAAATATCGCGTGATATTTCGAAAACAGTCGCGTGCACCATGACTTTACCGCGCGCTAAATATAACTCACGATAAGAAATTCCAGTCGAAATTCATAACAATGATTGGCGGAGAACACACACGCGGTAATAAAACGCGCGACCGATTATTATTTTAATTTAAATTTCGTCATTATCAAGTATCAACAGACAGTCAACATGTCGTCAGAGGAAGAGTCTGAAATCGACATCTCAAATTTGACATCTGAAATTGATGTAGAACAAAATAATAGTCAGTTAGACACAGAACTCGACATAGAACTTTTAATTTCGCTTGTTGGAAGTAGACCAATTTTATGGGACAAGACGTTGGATAAGTTTTCAGACCGCAATGAAAAACGAAAAGCTTGGAGGGAAGTGTTTGGATTGACAAATCCAGGATTTGAAAAACTTGAAATTAAGGACCAAAAATTGATAGGTATGTAAAATACTTTATTAATATTATAATTAACAGACTTGGGTAGTATTCAGAAAATTTTTTATATATTACTTTTTTTTCAAAGTATTAAAGTATTTGCAGTATTTTGAATACTTTTTACAAATATTCTAACTACAGTATTTCGAATAATTACTTTTTTCAACGTCCAATTACATTTTCTAAATTATTATTATTATTATTATTCCATAAAAATTGTATTTAAGTAAACTTAAATATTTTATTTTATTTGATAATAATTTTGAATACTTTTTGTGAAGTATTCCAAATACTTAGGGAATACTTAAATAAATAATTCGAATATATGTTTTGAATACTTTTTTTTACGTAATCGGAATATATGTATATTCGAAATACTTTTATTAATAATTGAAATGATGAATCGTTTATCGTAGGTATTGATTTTAAATTATATTTAATTTAATTTTTTTTTAATTACTTTTTTTTTTTGTTTGTACACAATTAATAGTTGAAATATTGCTTAAATATTAATCTTTGTGTGGTTTTTTTGGTACTTAAACACAATTTTTTTGTAAGGATTTATTGTCCAAATATTCCCGAAATTGCGAAAATTTGCAAGTTACTTTGTTATTAAAAATGCATTAAATTTTGGTTTTATTTATTATTGAAATACATATAGGTAGGTACAAATATAAATATTATTTTAATAATTTACTTTTTACTAATCAAGTACAAATTATAATACCTATATTATTTTAAACTTGGTTTATCATAATTTATAGATAACTAATTAAATGTAAAGAAACATTGCATATTATTATAGGTTATTTAGTATTTATAGACATATATAGTCTACAGTATTACAAATGTTTTTTTATTTATAATATAATATTATATCATAGTTTTGCATTTGGTTCTACTTATCATGTTGCCATGAAACTGCTCCTTCTGAATAAAAATAATCAGCATATATATTCCTCATATCAATAGCTGTTCTTCCTCCACGATCAACAATTACTGGATTTATTTCCTCAAAACCTTCCACTGTAAGGGAATCTTTAAAATCGATTCCATTTCTTTCACGTACAAAATTGTGCAAAACACAACACGCGTTAGTGATATTTACTGCCAATTCAGTATTAACATTCAATGGCCGATGAAAGATTCTCCATTTATTGGACAATATACCGAAAGCACATTCCACGTACCTACGAGCACGAGATAAACGATAATTAAATATGCGTTTTTTATTTGTTAAGTTCCTTCCACCATAAGGACGTAGAACATGTTCAGAAAGACCAAATGCTTCATCACCAACAAATACGTAATTTGCAACAATATTAGTAATTGTTATTGGACATGCTTTAGGGATATTCAATTCATTTCTTGTTAAAATATTCCATAAAGTAGATTTCTTAAAGATGGTTGAATCGGAGTCCTTCCCAAAAGATCCGACATCGATGTACAAAAATTTATAATTTGCATCAACAACCGCTAATAGCACTATTGAAAAATAATGTTTGTAATTAAAATGTTGACTTCCTGTTCCTGTTGGTTTTATAATTCTAATATGTTTCCCATCAACTGCTCCTAAGCAATGAGGAAAATTGGCACTCTGCTCGAACATTTCAGCTGTATTTTTCCATAGTTGTTCCGTCAAAGATGGCTTTTCAATGTGAGCTAATTCCTCCCAAACTGCAATACATACTTCTCTTACAATATTCCCTACAGTTGAAGCGCCTAGTTTGAACGTGTAGTGCAAATCTATAAATGTACATCCTGTTCCTAAGTATCTGTAATAATAAGAACATTAAGTTTTGCAAAAAGAGACTATTTTTATTTTATTTTAGGTACTTTTTTAAATTCTATTCTTTTGAAATCGTAAAAAAATCGTTATTATTTTGAAGTTAAAAAAAATCATATCTATCATTGTATTACAATTTAACACATCGCATAATCAGTGTTGAAAAATATTTCTTATTTTATATAGATAGTTTTCCGGTTCATTATATTAATCTACATCTAGTTCTAGTTATTAAAGAAAATAAAAAAAAATATATTTCAACTATCTATACCTATATAGCACAAAAATCAAAATATAGAAATCTAAAAAAGTCCAAATACTTTGAAAGTATTTTTTTCGAATACTTAGTAATCTTTAGACTGGGATTTATATGTAATAAAAAACCAAAAATATGTACATATATAATGCTAATATCAAATGCTAATAAAAAAAATTGTGCCTATGTATTCTTATAATTTTTTATCGCCATAAAAATAACTTATGAGGAACTTTGTATTAATTTTTCAAATATTTTGACTCCACCAAAAAATTTTTATCGACACTTAAAAAAAAAAATCTTAGGAAAATTGAAAATTTCAGTTGTCTATAAATCGCTCAAAAAAAGTCAAAATATTTTGAAAATAAAATCACGTAAAGAAAATGCCAATCTAAAAAAAATACTTAAAAAAATTGAAAATTTCAATTGTCTATAAATAGCTCACAAAAAGTCAAAATACTTTGAAAATTTAACGGTGTATAGAGAACACTAACATAAACATTTGGTGAAAATTTCAAGTATTTACAATGATTAGTTTTTGAATTACAACAATATAAAAAAATCGATTTGGTCGAATCCATCACTCCGTTCAGAATCTAAAAAACATCATTATAAAATCAATACATTCATCACTCTATTCATAATTTAAAATTAATTATTATTATAATTTATAATATTGTATTATATTAGGAGACAACATTGAAAAAAAATGGAAACATATCAAAGACGCATACTTTAGAACAATTAAAGAAAATAAGCCAAAGTCAGGCGATGGGATGACAAAAAAGAGAAAAAAAAATTATATTTACCACGATCAAATGCAGTTTCTAACAAAAACTATTATACCTAGACAAACAATAAGCTCTATACCTAAGCAACATTCTGAAGAAAGCGTCGAACTTCAACCGTCTACTTCAGAAATTAATTTACCTGCAGCCGAAATACAAAATAATAATGAATTTAAAAAACAACAAAAGAAAAGATCCAGAAATGTTGAAGACACATTTATGGAGTATCTAGAAGAAGCTACTAAAAACAGGAAGGATCAATGTAACGTAGTTAAAGATGAACATGAAAATTTTTTTGACTCAATGCTCCCAGTCCTTAGACAATTTTCTGTTGACCAAACGTTGGCATTTAGGGCAGAAATGATTAACGTCATTCAAAAAATTAAACGTGGCACAATGTATCCTACAGATCAATTTCAACAGTCGCAGTATGAACAATTTCCAAATTATTATCGTTTTCATCATGGTACAACCCAAAGAACTACTTCGCCTGCTATGTCACAGATGTCGAATAACAGTTCAATCTCGACATTGCCACCTCAAGTTCCGTTGAATCAATATGAGCCAAATTTAAATGAATATACATTAAACAATTCTACATTTATTTAATTATTATAATATTTTACAATAAATTTAAAAAAAAATGCTGTAAGTGAGTAAACTATATATATATTTCATATATTTTTTTTTTAATTAAAAAAGTTTGTTTTTTGGTTTCAGTATCTATAGCTAAGATAAAATATCTATTATTAACAATAATTAAAAATAAATGAATTAATTTCCTGATTTTTATTATATGATGCTTACCTTAATGGTACTGCTAACTTTTCAGCTGGAGTAATACTTTTTCTCATGTTAGTATCGATTCCTAAAAGTCATGTTCCTAGATACATTGTTAATAGTTCATCAAATGCCGATACGCTCATCCGGAAATAGTTAAAAAAAACTTCACTGGATCTTTTCTGATATTTTCAAAAAGTAAATTAAACGCACCTTCAGAAGGACGTGTACTATTTAAAGGATGTACCCACATCTTTCTATTAATATTTTTTTTATTTTTAATAAAAAGTTGGTAACCCAAAAACAAAATAATATTTTTATCTGCCATGATGGTGTTGTCTAGTTGAAACATGGACACATACTAAATAGTTTATGTATGTTACATGAAATAATTTATCGTGAATATCGTTAAAACGTGCCGTAAATAAACGCTTGTGTTGTTATGAATTAAAACGCGCGGTAAGTTTTGTTTACGCGGTAAAAATGTCGCGCGGTAAAATAACGCCCGTGTGTTCCCAGCCTAACATAGATTTGATCAGTTTTGGTAATATTTTCGCATTTACTGTAAGTACTCGCAAGTAACAGTTGTGTTAGTTTATTGAAAACATTTAAATTTAAAAAAATATTATACTGGTGCAGAAATTGACATATTTGTTATTTTTTGTAATTTTGTTCTTTGTAATGGATCAAGAATATCAAGGTTTGAATGCATTTAATTATAAACTTAACACAGTATTTTAAAGTTATATTTATTTTAGCTGGTACAAGTCATGGTGGACATAATGACTACACGTATGAAGAATTATTTAATTTTTTGCGTCAAAAAGGAAACTTAAAACCACAAAATTTTACTTCAAGAACAATTTTATTTGATATAATTAAAACTAAGTATGGAGGTAATAAATGGGACGAAGCTTACGAGAAAATTGTTAAAGGTAAAATATTATCATTTTCCGTAGCTTTATCAAAAAAATGGACTCAAAGTAATAGAACGTTAAATAAATTCATTGAAAAAAATTATAATTGGCTTCATATAAAATTCGAATTGCCCCAATCAATTACCAATAACAATATTGGAATTATTGGTAGACCAAGAAAATTGTTTTCTGTAAGTTCAGATAGGACTAAAAAAACAAAAGTGAAGCATATAGTAGATTCTTATACGTCTCCCGAACTTGTAAGCGCCATGTTAACAAAACTACATAAATCGGGTAGAAGAAATGTTGCTAGTGTTCTTAATGAAGCTCTTAGTACACCTAAAAGAGCTTCAAAAATTAAACGAGTCTTATCAAATTATGATAAATTAAAGCCTGTTCCGTATTCTCCTGCCGAAGCGCTTGCATTCTTAATTGAAAATAAGTTAACAAAGGAACAATATATAAATATCAGAATAGGATCGAAAAAAAGAAATTGCAATATTTACCCATCTTATGAAATTTTAAAAATAGAAAAAAAAAATGTTATCCAGACAATATAAATGTTACTGAAATCAGTTGTGAAATTCCCTTACAAGACCTATTAAATCATACAACAAAACGTATTCTACAAATTCCAACGATAAAAAGTATAGAAAAAACTATGACAAACTTAGAAATTATATACAAATGGGGATGTGACGGTAGCAGTGGTCAAGCGCAGTACAACCAAAATCTCAGTGGATCGACTTCATCTTCAACTACCGACAGTGATCTATTTATGTTTTTTCTCGTGCCACTTAAACTGCAATGCTCAGTTAACCAAAAAATATCAACAATTTGGTAAAACCCTACTCCATCATCAACTCGATTTTGTCGCCCAATAAAATTTATGTTAAAAAAAGAAACCAAAGAAAATACATTACTGGAAGTTGCGGATATTGAAAAGCAAATAAAAAATTTAATTGCTACAAACTTAACCATTGGAGATAAGGAATTACAAATTAATCATAAATTGATTTTTTCAATGATTGATGGAAAGGTAAATTAAAATTAACTTTTTTACTAATTTTACATGTTATCATAATTACATATTTTCTTAATTATTTTAGGTGTGCAATTCGATGATAGAAACATCTAGTCAAACTTGTTACATATGTGAAGTAACTCCGAAAAACAGTAACAATATTGATGAATTGACTAAAAAAAAAATTAAAGAAGACAACTTAAAATTCGGCCTTTCTTCATTGCATGCATGGATACGGTTTTTCGAGTGTCTACTACACATTGCATATCGGTTGGACTTTAAAACTTGGCAGGTAAATAATATATTATATGCTTGATTTTTAATTACTTTGATAATGTGTAGGTAATTTACTAATTATATCATAATATATTTAAAAATAGGTCAAAAAACCAGAACACAAGGCCATGTTTTCTGCTAAGAAAGCCCTTATCCAAAGTAAATTTCGTAGTGAAATGGGTTTATTGGTGGATGTAGTGTTGCAAGGTAAAAATATGAATTAAACCGTTAAATATCTCAAATGCTTTGAATTATCTAAAATGTTATTATGAATATTTTATAGGGCATGGTACCACCAATAATGGCAATAGAGCTAGAAAATGTTTTAAATATGCATTTCAGTCTTCAGAAATTACTGACATAAATCTGGAATTAATCACTAGGTTTGGTAATATTTTGTCATGTATTGCTAGTGGCTACAAGATCAATACAAATGCATTTGAAAATTGTGGTATTGAAACTGCTAGAATTTTTATCAAACTATACCCATGGTTTTATATGCCCTCTTCGGTGCACAAAATTTTAATTCATGGAGCGGATGTCATTCGTTACGCAATTCTTCCAATAGGTAATTCTAATTCTAAATAAATAAACCATCATAATATATGTTTAATTAAATATTTTTAGGACAACTTTCAGAAGAAGCCCAGGAATCACGTAACAAAGATTATAAAACCTTTCGAAAACATAGCACTCGAAAAATGTCCAGAATAAATACAAATACGGATCTTCTTCATATTTTATTAGTATCGTCCGATCCTTTAATTGCATCTACACGAAAAGTAAAAAATAAAAATAAACTTGACTATTCCCCTGAAGTACAGTCACTTGTCATATTGTCCAATTCCGATTCCGATACAGACAGTGATTCCAAAGATAGTACTACAGAAAGTGATTCAGATGACTCGCATGATGGTTATACATCACAACTCGATTAGGTTGTTTTATTGTATATTTATAATTATTATATTGTTATAAGTTTGGTAAAAAAATTTAAAATAATAAAATATAAAAATGCTTTGATGTTTAAAAATATAAGGTACCACCTTCTCATCATTGTCCTTATGGGGATCCTATTAAAGGGCCATTGTCATGCCAATTACACTATGTATGCACAAATTGAGTTTAGCAGTCTTAAAAACATATAAACTTATGTAGAATATAATTGTTTTTAAATTTAAAAATAGTACACCCTTACTTCCTACTTAATAATGGGCAAAATAAAAAAATGATGCGAAATTTGGGTTCAGCATCCTTAAAAGTGATTGGTTTAATTTATCGCACAATATTATGTAATATAGTGTTAGAGTTATTAATTTATGTAAGCTAGAAACGGGTTTCATCCCACTGTGCGCCGTTGGCGGGGCCGGTTGTCGGTCGGGAACTCGCGGACGTCGATAGAGACCGATAACGAAAGCGACAAAACATGGCACCGGAAAAAATTCGAAAACGCTAAAATTGTAGCCGAGTTGCTGGGGTGCTTTTTAAGTTTTTTTAAATGGTCGTACAAATTCATACAAAATACTTAATAATTATGGGTGTAGTTATGACTATGAATTTATAATTTTTAACATTGGGTGGGGATGAAATCACTAAACTGTGTGAATTGAATAAAAAGTTAAATAGTTAAAAACTTAATTTTTGTTACAATTGTTCATTTAAACTTATATTTTAGGAATATACACTCTGAAAATGAAAATTTAGAATTATCGTACTATACTTTACAACCAGTTGAAGTACCATTTATAAGCAATACAATTTATTGAGAGCATGACGTAGTTAATGAACCTTATGATATAGATCAAAATAAAATTAAAGATTGAATAATAATAATATGTTCAAATTTAACTATTTAATAATAGTTAGAATAACACTCAGAAAATGTAATTTATTATTTTCTTTTAGAGGTTTATGATGATATTCCTCAGACAACTAATAATAATTTACCTACCTTACAGACTATAATAGGAAACCAAGTAGAAACTAATTTAAGAAGGTGGAATAAAAAAAATCCTGAAGGCTCAATTTGAGCTATTAATAAGAAAAAAATAAATCTAGGATTAGAATACACTATAGGCAATAAAAAGTTTCCAGAAAAATTTCCAAAGCCAATACTATGTGATAAATGTAAATTTGATTGCTTAAGTTTCACTGAAGAAAGAAATGAAATATGCCATAACTATTGGGGACTTGTTGATTTTCAAAGAAAAAAAGGATTTTGTAATATCGATGGCTCAAAAAAACCGAAAAAGTTGAAAATAAACTCACTTTTAAAACAATTTCTTAATGAAACTTCAAGGTTATCAAGATATTACTAAAAGTGTTTCTAAAATGTATTTGTTGCAAAATGTTTATATTGTATTATATTGTATTATAATTCGGATTTATGAGACTATATAAGTAATTATTATATACTAGTACGTAGATCGATTATCTACACATATAACATATAATTGCGTAAAGACCAATTCCTTTACAGTTTCAAGTGTCCCTGTCTCCAGGGTTGGAAGGTAGGAACTCGTGCGAGGTTGTTAGGTAAAATAAATAAACACCTGATTTATTATGAGACTCGGTTGCGTCGAGATCGTGTATTTTTAAGTTAAACATAATATTATGATCGTAGGTAGTACGAATAATTATTATAATACATGGTCGAGCGGTCGTTCGATCGGTTTGGGTCGACGGTTTCGGGGGTTGCTCTAGGCACACACGGTCGAGAAGTGTAACGGTTGCGGTGAGAGGCGAGGTCGGTGCACCCATGATGGGACACGAGATCGGAGCGGTAAGGCGGAGAAGTTCGTACGTCCGTTGATACTCACTACGCGGTCGTCGGTGGTCGTTTGCATGGTTGTCGTACGGAAATCGCGAGTCAGTCGTTAACGTGTGGCTCGGTCGGAGGCGGTGAGCAAAGAGAACGCTGGCCGGTCAGTCGGTCACGTCGTACCCGTCGCGGGACGGGTTGCTGGGCGTCGCCAATGCGGGGCTCGATATCGAAGTAACATAGAACATAAATATAAAAATTACAGAAGTCATTTAAATAAAAACGAATATGAAATAAAACAATTATTACAAATAAATTAGCAAATACAAGTACTCGCGCTGCGGAACGGTATTGAGAAAAGGCTGGAGCCATGATAAAGAAAACAGGTATGTCGGCAACTTTGTGGTGCGCATAAAATGGCGGCCGGTTTGCGCGTGTTATCAATTTTACGTAATCACCATATCTGTAGGAAGTATACGGATGTCTGTTATATAGTATAGACTTTTAGAATTTAGACGGTCTAAATTACGTACAATTTATAAAATTAGACCGTGCATTACATCACATTATTTTTATTTTATTGCAATAAACTTATTTATAATTGTTATTGTTAGTTGTTACTATTTATAATTTGAACATACCTGTGTTCAGTAATGTATATAATTATTTAGTTATAAATTATAATAATAATAACTATTAATTGACTAAGAAATATTACGTACGGTTTAATATTAAAATGATTTTATTTTAGCCGTTTCAAGATTTACAATTCAACAATGTATATTTAATATTGTAGTAAGCGAATTACTACGCAACATTTAAAGTCTCGACAGGTAACATATTTAACATAATATATCGTAGATAGGTAATGGTCTGTAGATATATCAAATAGAAACTAGTTAACCTTTTTGGTTGTACTTAATCAAAGAACCATGGGGAATATAACGCCAAAAACGAACTCGTAAACAAAATTGCGATTAATAAATGTAAGGCTCAAGGAGACACGATATTCAAACTAAAACCACAATAGATTAGCACGACTTTGAAATCATGTAGAATAGGTGGATGTGATAAATGCGATAGCGTTATATGAGAGAAATTCAATATAGAAATAGTATGGTTTATTATAATGAAATTGACAGTCACAAATTATCTGTCAGTACATTATAGTAATACCCACAATAGATTAGGAATTTCGCATGGCCACATAGAAAACATCCGTTAGAACCGCGATACAGCATCACCAGGCAAAGGGGAGCGGGGACCGGACTATACTCCGGCCACTGAGAGAGCGCTACCCGGCGGCGACCAAAACTTGTCCGATCTCGCGCATTCCCACCACGAAACCTCCAGTTTTGCTGGCCGCCGTCACGGTTACCGTCGCCGCCGTCGGTGCCGCTAACGTCGCCGTCAAAACGTATCACGTGATAGTGGTTGTCAGTATACAGCGTGAACTAGAGTGTTTACTGTTTTCAGTATTTTACTTATTGCGATACTATTTACCTAGTTTTTTGTTTTTGCGTGTTATACACATTTTTTTTTATTAGTTTTTACGTGTTTTAGTACACTATATTTTTAGTATTTACTATTGTATTAGTAAAACTAGTCTATAATGGATCCTATTGATATTGCTTCACCTAAGAAAAAAAATCCTTGTGGAAAGGTAAGTGTTTATATAAAAAAATATATATATTTTTTTTTAAATATTTATTCTATTGCTAATTCTTATTATTTAATTTTTTTTCTGCAGTTTATTGGTACTGGTCAAAAACAAATGATAATCAATCTGTACAAAGATATAGTCAATCAACAACCCGAAAATCCTGACAGCCCCCGATTGAAGTACAAAGAAATGCTTTTGAAAATTTCAAAAGCAACCGGTATTGGTCAACGTACAGTTCAGACAACTTTGGCAGAATATAAAAATAAAGGTACTGTATCATCGCCCAATAAGAAAAAAAATAGAGCTACGATACTTGAAAAAGTGGACGATTTTGACAAAAATGCAATTAGGCAAAAAATCCATAGTTTTTGGCTCAATCGTGAAGTGCCCACAATTGCAAAGATGTTGACTGCCATAAATAAAGATGAGACACTACCAGATCTAAAACGTTCATCATTTCAAAAAATATTGAAACAATTGCAATTTGTGTACGTCAAAAAATGTCGTAATAGCGCGCTTCTCGAAAGAGATGACCTTGTGACTTGGCGGCAAAATTATTTGAGCAACATAAAGCAATATAGAGCAGAGGGCAGACAAATATATTACTTAGACGAGACGTGGGTCAACGCGGGAGAAACACATAGTAGAACATGGGTAGACAGTTCAGTCACTTCACGACGGGACGCATTCAAGAGAGGCCTCACAACAGGACAAAAGGACCCCTCGGGCAAAGGTAAGCGACTCATCGTTTTACACATTGGATCATCTGACGGCTTTGTCCCAGGGGGCCTTTTGTGCTTCGAATCGAAAACAAACTCATCCGACTACCATGATGAAATGAATGGCACTACATTTTTTGAATGGTTTGTCAAAATTATACCGTTACTTAAAGATAAGGCAGTCATTGTAATGGACAATGCATCATACCATTCTGTAAGAAAAGATCCAACTCCAGTGAGGTCGTGGAAAAAACAGGAAATTATAGACTGGCTAGAAAGTAAAGGCGAGGTCGTTATACAACCAATAGTAAAGGCGGTATTGTTAGAAAAAGTAAAAAAAATCAAATCGGAACACGAAAAATATGTAATCGACGAGTACGCGAAAGAAAATGACAAAATCGTATTAAGATTGCCTCCATACCACTGCGAGCTGAACCCAATAGAGCTCGCGTGGTCATCCGTTAAACATTATGTCCGGTCGCTTAACAATACATTTAAAATAAAAGACGTACAAGAATTGTTAAAACAAGGTGTAGAACACGTAACACCAGAAATGTGGGCCAATTTTGTTAAGCACGTCATAAAGGAAGAAGAGAAATTTTGGAAAATCGACTTCATCACAGATGAAATATTGGATGAAGAACCTGAAGGAGAACAACACATCATACATAAAAATACAAACATATACCAGGTGAGACGGTCGTGGGCGTTATTATTTTCATTGTATTTACTTGAGCCGCTGTAGACAAACCACTCGGCGGCGGCCGTGGAATTAGCCACGGTCGCCGCATAGCGAGTGGGGGTATTTCGGGCAGCGAATAGGTGGAAGAGTGGGAGAAATTAGGTTTCCAAACCGCGGAGCTCGATCATTTGGATGCGCAAGCGGGTAGCGCTCTCTCAGTGGCCGGAGTATATAAGAGGGACCCCGAAACGGCCTGTATTCAGACGTGTCTACTCATCGCTACTACAAGCACCTTCAATCAGCTCTGTGTAACGATTGTCATTTGGACTCAGCACCATTGTGATTATTGGACTCTAATAAAACAACAGTATAATTTGGCATTTGTGTTATAATTATTCAACTGATACCTCATCATCAAAGTAAACGGTCTAGCTACCTGCAAACGTTAATATATCTTAGCCATCAGAGCCACCAGTATATTACATCATTACTTAAGTTCATGTCATGTGATTTACTTAATGAACTTTTGTATTTTATTTTTGATGTTTGTTTTTAATGTTTTATGATTATGTAATAAAGAATCATTAAGTTTATTAATTCGAATAAATGTTCTTGTACGAATCAAACATTGTAACACTTCTGATGGTAAATTTGTTATTTTTTGTTTTAGTTTGGTTCATAAGTCTTTAATAATATTTGGTTTATTTTTCAAAGCATCACCGTGGAGTTCTTTAAACAATTGTTCCAATTCATGAGCAGCATTTACTAATGTTGGTGATGGAATTGTAAGATTTCCTTTTGAAATGTGTTGAATCCATGATGTCTCCTGTATAATATTGTAGTCTTCTCCAGACTTCAGGTATGGATATTTATAGATATATCGATGTGCTACATATCCAGCAACGTATTCAACGCATTCTTTTTCTATGAATCCAAATGGTCCTCCATTATCTATCTAAAAAAATATATATTTCATTTTTTTTTCACAAAATTTTAGAGGAAGTGTATTCTATAACCTAATTTATATTTTATGTATTTACAGGCTACTAGACGGAAAAAATATTTTATTTAACTTACTATTTAAGTGACAAGTTAATTTAATATTGGTGAAAATTGAGATCAAAACAAAGTATCAAATGAATCTGGGTAATTTGATTTGAATCTAAATATTTTTAATTGTTTTATTTTAATTTTATTATATAAACTTACATTCTTTTCAAAGAGATCCAGTATATTCATATCCACATTTTCAACAGTAGCTGAACCTTCAATACTCATTATATTAGCCAGTTCTTCATTTTGTGAATACTCAGTTTCATTAATCAATACTTCAGATTGCCTAAACATTAAACTAGAAATACACTCTTCCCCTAAAATTAAGCTATACTCTATTCCAAATGAGACCAGCCTTCGGCGGCCGGTTGTACGCATGGGGGCGTGGCTTCACTACGAGGACGGTCTTGAACTTTGCCGTCGCGGCGCGACGGCTAGAGCGACGTAATTAGTCTATTATAGACCAGCGACCTGTACAAATAACTTAAATTGCATTGTATACTCTGAAACAGATGGAGTGCGGAGCTGTACGTCGTGATGTATTTTTCCGTACCGTTGCTCCCACAGTCGCGCGCCACATAATTACATAAGTACGTCAGTGTACGCTATCAGTATATCACCAATTTCTTATGTTCAATTTTTAATCCCTATATTTTTTTTTTATTACCTAATGTTATAGGTACGTTAAAACAAATTTCTATAATTTAATTAGTAACACTTTATTATATTAAAACATGATAAAAAAAATGATAAAACATAAATCATGATAAAAAATATAATATATGATAAAAAAATATAAATTAATTACTCCGAATCATCTGTTGAGGTTGTTTCTCCTGTTATATTCATAATACAAGGTTCCATTGCATCTATCAATTCGTCCATGATATCGTCCGCTTTCCATATTCTGTTCTCTTCTTCAATTACGTGCTTTATAAGATTTTTCCAATTTTGAGTCGTAACCCTTTCAATCGCTGTATTTAGCAGTTGTTGAACATCGTTGATTTTGTAAGTGGTGTTTTTCTGTTTCACGTATCCTTTTACCATCGCCCATGCTAATTCAATGGGATTGAATTCGCAATGGTACGGTGGCAATCGGAGTACGGTGTGCCCGTTGTCCTTGGCCAAGTTGTCTATTACATACGATTTGTGTTGTGGTCGCATTTCTTTTGATATCGCCAGTAGTTCGGGCTTCAACAATGACGATAGCGGTCGTTCACGAACAACATCCCTGGAAATGAGCCACTCCAATATAGCTGCCTTTTTCCAAGAACTATTTGGATATTTTTCTTGCTCTACTGAATGGTACGGCGCATTGTCCATGACGATGATTGAATTTGGATCGAGTATAGGGATAATGGACTCGAACCACTCCTTGAAGTTATCCCCATTCATCTCGTCATGGTAATCTCCTGTATTTTTTTTAGAAACGAAACATAGTAAGCCACCTGGCAGAAAACCATTCTCCGACCCAATGTGTAGCACAATGAGTCGTTTCCCTTTACCTGATGGATTGGTAGACCGGTTGTGAGGCCTTTGTTGAATGCATCGTGTTTGGAGAGAACCGTATTGTCCTTTCAAACACGATCGACACAATCGCCGGCGTTCAACCAAGTTTCGTCCAGATAATATATACATCGACCTTCAGCTCTATATTTCCGAATGTCGTATAAATAATTACGACGCCAAACAATTAGGTCTTCCCTCTCGGTCAGCACACTGCATCTTTTTCTTTTTGTAAAAACAAAGTCCAATTTTTTGATGACACGATACAGAGACGTCCTTTTAAAATTTGGAAGCAACGGATCTGCGTTTACGTCGAATAAAATTCGATCAATGGTTGGTAGTTAACGTTTTAACCAAATAGAATGAATTGTCCGACGTAATCCTGTGCGATCCAGATCATCAATTTTTTCAAAGAGTGAAGCCTTCAATCTTTTTCTGTTAGGAGATGATACTGTTTTCGTCGTTTTATATTCGCTGATGGTATTCCTTATTGTGTCACGTCCCAAGCCAGTTAACTCTCGAATACGGTTAATAATGTCCACATATTTTTTGTCTGGTGTATTAGAAATGATATCTTTATAAATATTGACTACCATTATTTTTTGACGACTGGACACAAACTGTAAAAAACATATAAATAATAATATATCGTAATACAATTTGAAATATCAAATATTAAATAATTAAATATTTGAATACTATATTAATCAATATTACTCACTTTTCCACATTTATTTTTTGTTTTTGGAGAAGTAGTAGTGACGTCTTCTTCAGGCTGCAGAGGCATACAACCTTCCATTTCAGAACCACCCGTAGTTATTTCGTTATTATCTCCCATTATATAATAGGCAAAACACAAAACAAATAAACAAACAAACAAATCGGTTTAAACGGACGGCGCGTAATTCAGAGGCAAGCACGAAGGCGTCGAGGCGTTATAATGCAGACACGTACACACACATACCGTCGGCGTCGAAAATCGCCGCTGGTAGAGCTGCAGTCGAACAACTACAAGGTGGGGGAGCCAGAACCTCATCCGGACGAAAACTGGTCGCTGCGCAAGGCTGGTCTCATTTGGAATAGAGTATAGTTTCCAAGCCTTCTTCTGTATTTCTGTTTTCAGTGTATACTGCAGTTGAATGTTTACCCAAAATGTACCACCTGAGACTGAAATATAAAATTTGAACAATAATTATGTATGAGGTACATATTATGTAGAAATAATATTTTAAAAAATGTTACACACGCATATTTAAATTGCAACGGTGTAATATTGTTCATTGCTGATCCACAAATTCCTTTCAGAAAGCTATACATGTTTTCAACTACATCCTGATTTAATTTCCTAGTCATTATAAAGGAAATATTATATTTGCATTTTAACTCATTCAGCAAGGCTTTTAATAATTTGTTAGTAATTATTATACCTAAAAAAAAAAGTAGGTCAGCACTGGTCAGTCCTCAGACATGTATTATTATAGTATTCAATTTGAATGCAAAGATTGCACTCGATAAAAAACGATTCTGAGAGGACCAAAGAAAATGTATGAAAAATGACCTTTCTAAAGTACCTACCATCTTGATACTATATGTGGAAATCGAAGAGCTCCTTCTGGTAGAAACTTTGTTTACAAGATAAAAAAAATATACATCATTGTAAAACCACTAGCTTTCTTGCTCCTCTCAGAATCTAAAATGACAGTTTTTATAGTACTGTAAGTAATTTTGACTTATTAATAATTATTTGTGAATCTATACTCTTTTTTTTTAAATGAGATCAGTACAAGGTGGCCCATTTGTACTCAGTTTCGTTCCAAAGCTTTGGCCTCCAGATTGACTGTAGCCAATTTACTTTTCCCGGTACTGATCACATTTTTAATAAACTATACCTTTCTGGAAGGGCAATAAACTTTTTTTGTCATGTATTCTCATTTCAGTTATAAAAGAAGTCATTCTGTCCAATAATTCATCTTGTATCTCTAAAGATAACCCATAACTGGATGAATGTTTATCAATTTTGTGTTGAGTATTCAACAAGTCAAACCAGTCGTTGACTAGCTGGATCACTTCTGAAGCCTATACATAATTACATAATATACTTGTTTCAAACAAGTATATTATGTAATTATTTAATAAAAAAAAGTTGTTTTTATTAATTGTTAACGGCATGTGTAAATAATTTTACTTAATATGCATAGCTAATGTTATATTTCATATGTTTATAGTAGAAAATTATTTAGTTGATGATTTTGTTTTTACCTCTTTCCAGTTGTAATCAGTGATTATATTTTTATTTCCACAGAAACTTATAGATTTGGCATCACTATTTGAAAATAATTGTACTGCCAATTTGACGTTCATCCTAGATGCACCGTCTACCATAATATGACGTTCAGATAATTTATATGCAAGTCTGTAGTCTTTTCAACAGATATATTCAAGTTTCGCCATAATCCAATGTTGGATAGACCCATATCACTAACAACTGCCACAATATTATATCCAATATTATATAATTTGGCTATGATGTCATTTAATAATTCTACTGTCATCGGAGTATCAAAATTATAAAATAACGGTTGCTTCCATGGTGATATTAGTCCTGTTTAAAAAAGTTACTCTAGTATTACACATTGTTTTAAATGTTGGCTAATTATATAGATACCTCGAACAATAAGAGTCTGAACACATTTATGTGGTCCAATCATTTGTTCATTTTTTTTTTGTCGTAACAAATTCTTTTTGTTACATATGTTTCATCAAACGAGATTACTGTTAATTTTTCATTGTCAGTTAGAGTTTCTCCTAAATTAATTTTCATACAAATGTATAAGATCAAATTGTTAATTGAGTTTTAATATGAAAATACCTTTTACTTTCATCAAAGTTAATACACTAGTTAAAACTCCAAGTTCTACTGAAAAAAGACTGGCCCATGTTCTTAGGGTTGATAAGCCTGCATATTTTTAAGTTTTACATTCTTTATTCAATTTCATAAATTATGTTCATAATAAATTACCTGGTAACGGAAATTCTTTTTTTGTTCTTAAATACCGATACGCCTTCGGAGAAACACTTCTCAAAGATATTGCAGAAGCTATATCTTGCGGGGTCCATTTATAAATTTTTTTGTTACCATTTAAAATAGCATCAATTTGTATAGGCGTGAATAATTTAGAAAATAATGAGTGGACACGTACATTAAAAAGGCCGTCCGTTTTTATTAAATTATTTTCAATTTCTTGTTTTTGTAATTGTTGATAAGAAATAATTTGTTTTAATTTAATTTGTTCATTTTGAAGTTTGTCTTTTTTATATTTATCAATAAGAGTGGAGCGCTGCGCGACGAACCGAAGGTGGCCGATCTAATTAACTTGGACACCGACGAGGAGGAGTTCTTTCAACTTCGGGTAGGCCCACAGGAGCTCCCGGATGTGGACATGCTGTCGGGACTCCCGGACAGCGACGACGACGGCCTGTGAGTAGGCAGACGGTGTCCTGCGGGTTGGCGTTGGCGGGGGAGAATGTCGCGGTCATAACGCCTTTCATGTCACCCGCACGACGGGCTACAGTCGGACGGCAGGTGGTGGGGACCCGTACATCGACCACGACGGCCGACCTCGCCGCCGGCCGGGCCGGCTGCCTGGTTCCGAATGCGCGCCTTTACGATACTACTGTGAAACACCAATAAAATACATTATTTACCACAACCACCGGTGTTCTTAAATAAAGTGTCACCTATTCATGTACCACGTCGAGCATACCGTGTCATAATGTTGTTGTTGGTGGGTGGTGGTGTGGGAGGTGGGTGTCCCCACGGGTTAGATTAAGATTAATCATTATCAGAAACGCAAATTTTTTTTAAGTCTTGGAGTAACCATTCTTTTATTTTTCCTATTCGAGCACTGTATATTTATATATATATTAGTATTAAACATAAGCCAATTAACTAAATTATGAATTATATAAAATAATATTTTTAAAAGACTGAAAGTAATATACAGTCAAGCGAAGACGAGGTATCTGTGGGTGAATGTGGGGGAGGCTGAAGATGTGGATTTAGTTGTTGGGAACAATATTATTGCAGAAAAGATCAAGGTGCAGAGGAGCCATATGCCCGACCACCAAATAAAATAATTTTAAAAATTCAAAGAAGACTGCGACATCAAATTTTGGATCCTCTTTGTTGAAAATATTAGAAAACCGCCAAAAAATACCAGAAGACCAGGAAAAATCTTTTTTAATGTCATTACTCCCTTAAATTAAATCGTTGGACGAAGACCAAAAATCATGGCTGTATGTTGAATTTTTAAATGCCATACAACGAGTAAAAAACTATTCTGTAACCCCTGCTTATCCTTGTTATGGATTTTACACACAACACAAAATAAACGTACGCACCAATTGAAAATTAAAATAATTAATGTATTTTTTATTAAAACTGGTAGTAAAAATTAAGTGTAGCTACAATCTGTTATTCGAACACTGGTAATTCTACGACTGACTGACTCCCTGTGTGTTGTCGTGACGGTGCCCCGTCTCACATCAAAAACCCTTATTCAGCGGTTCCCACGGTGGCAGCGTCTTACGACACACACTCTGCATTATGATTGTCTATATATGTTGTTAACATATATAGATATATAAAAAATAAAATATGTACTGATCAGGGGTTCTTAACACCCCCCAGACTAAATGAGACACGGGGGTCCAATGACCACAGTGTTTCACTTAAATATTTAAGTTTCTGCAAGATTTCGAATTTTCTGTTATTTGGGGGTCAGTTCAGTTTGACAATAAAATAATAAAATATTAAAGAAAAATAATAAAAGAAAAATAAATTACACTGTGTCTTTCTAAATACCATTAGATTTTTCATGCTTCTGGTATTTCAGGGTTGTATATTTTTGTAACATTTTTTCTTAAACTAAAACTTAATATACTAAATGTTAGTATTACAATAATATAAATGACAATAACGTGAATGTTAATATTGAAAATTAACGAAGGTTCAGCTAGGGTATGTGAAAGTTCATTTAACTCAACTGCTTTATTAGTCAGTTGGTTCAAATTTTGAATTAAGATTTTATTAGTGAGGTTTTGAGGAATAATTGTTTTGACTATATCTGTCAATGTGTGTAACGGATCCTTCTTAGAATTTTCTGGTATAATATCTGAATGAATATCCCTACTAGCTTTGTTATTAGAAAATAATATAGAGTTTCTGAGATTAATTTTACAAAATGGGGGTATAGTTATTCTGCCTACGCCCTCAATTTCTATCTTGGAATTTTCTGTTGGATTTGTGCAAGTGATGGTACCTACTTCCCGTTGGGTATAATAGATCCATGAATTAGTTTGCACTAACTGATGCCATATAGGGGCTTTTAATGAAACGAATTTGAATTTGCAATGGTCTGGATTAAATTGATTATTCGCTAGTAATGAAACTACACATACATCTGATTCTGCACGATGGCTTTAATGTTATACATTCTTCCCATTTTACGTTATCTAAAGCAATAAAATTTTCGTTGTCTCTGCTTACACCTAAATAATCTATTTCAGGGTCGACTAAGAAAATGGTTTGTTCACTGTGGGGTATGGGTAAAGGTATAGGGTGGTATATACTATATTCCTCACTGGTAATTAGTGGGATTTCTATGACATAGATAAGATAGTTGTCTTTAAAGAATATGTTTTTTTCAGAGATTCGGAGGATTTCATTAAGAGATTCTATATTAACTTCCAATGGAAAAGTATTTCCAATCGGCAAGTCCACCTTAATTTCAAGAAGTTCTTTAATAATGTGCTGTGGAGTAAAGACACTAGTGTGAATTTTTCCATCTAATGCTGTATTTATTATGGAGATAAGGTTCTGGGTTTCATAAGCGTACTTATTAGTATTACTAGTTCAAATAGTAATGATTGTTCTAATACTTTGGTTCGGAACGCCAATTTATTAAGGTTCTGGATAGTAAGATTTGTTTGTGCTTGTAGGTACTGGAGGTTTTGTTCTACTTTTTGTTGTTGGAGTTCTAATTGTTGTGTAGAGTGATTTACTTCTGCTTGTAGGAATCTGATCTTTTCCGGAATATTGTTTTTACTAGGTACTTTGCTTCGATTTAGTTCTGTTATTTGATTTATAATGAATTCAACATCAATCTTTGAGCATACACCATACAGAACGTTGGCCATACGCCTGAATGTTTGCCCCAATCCCCGTCGAACTCTATTATCATCATTATTAATGGCTAACATAAGACTTCTGTGATTAGCTTCGATCTCGTTTAAATAGGGCAAAGTTGCTCTAGAAAATTGTTGTATAAACAGAGAGCAAATCTCCTCAATTTCCACATTGCCAAATCTGTTTTTCATATTTTCGCAAATGGTCGTGGTGGCTTGATAGTGAGCCATGATGACATGGTATTTTGAAATTAGTAATTGTACATCCAAGGAGATTACCAATTCCCAACTCACATGTGACAATCTGGGTACTCCATGTGACTCATAATAGATCCCTTGTTGGTTCTTGAATGACGTTAGATTAAATACTTGGCGGTGATTTCTTTGGTCCGAATCATTAATGGAAGGTTCCGTGACGCTTATTGAAATTATGCTAAATCTGAAACATAGTTATGTTCTTTCATGAAATTGTTTTAGAAGGTTCCGGTGTACATTTACAGGCTTGTTTTTCTTAAGTATCGTGACATTTGGTGAATCTGGTTGTATTTCTACGATGGGGTAAGGACCTAACCATTTTGGGGCTAGTTTTCCCTTACGGGCCTTGTCTTGTATTAGGACTCTATCTCCTTCGGCAAGGTTTAGAGGTGCTATTGATTTGTCATAACGCTCTTTAGATTTGTGTTTGCTTTCTAATAGCTCTGCTCTCGCTAATTTATGAGCTTCCTGCATTTGTTTCTTCATCTCAAAGTAATAGTCCTCATAGTTGTATTGAGGTTCAGGATCTCGAGTGAATGAATGCGGAACGGTTATTTCATTACCATAAACTAGTTGATATGGTTGAAATTTGGTTGCAGTATGTACTGTTGAATTATGACAAAACATCGCGAATGGAACATAAGTGTCCCAGTTTTGAGGATCTTTGTCAACGAAACTGCGTAAGTAGTCTCCTAATGTTCTGTGGCTACGCTCTAAAGATCCATTACTTTGTGGATGGTATGGTGTGGTCGAAGTTTGTTTGATCTTAAGAAGTTGACATACTTCTTTGAATACATGACTAAGGAATTCCGTACCACAGTCTGTGACAAGACTCTTCGGAAGTCCATGTAAGCACACAAATTGGGTTACAAAATGGTATGCTACAGTGTTTGCTTCATGGTTTATCATAGGTACTGCCCATGCGAATTTAGAAAGGTCATCTTGAAGAGTTCAGATGAATATATTCCCTTTATGAGACTTAGGAAATGGTCCTACAATATCCATGAAGATTTTCTCAAAGGGTCTGGAAGAGGTTGTGGTTATAACCATCGGTTCTTTTACTGATCGATTTGGTATTTTCTGACGTTGGCAAGTTTCACAGGAAAGGATATATGCTTTGATCATCTGTCTCATTCCCTTCCAATGATGTTGCTGCAATATTCTTTGATATGTCCGATTTATTCCTTGATGTCCCCCCAAAGGAGTCTCGTGGAATTCTCTAATGATTCGTAACTGGTCTTCCTTCGATAACTGCTCTCGTGTTACGATTTGTATTTCTATTTCCGAATTTCGGAACGTGTAGTAGAGCATGCTCCGGACGGTTTCCCATTTGATACCGTCTCGATCTATCGCTAAACGCGGACAAGCGAGTCGAGTTACTTTCCGCTCTTGGCAAATTTTCTTGAGATTCTGTAGGCTCTGAAAAATATCTTCGCAGGTCGGTTTTTGCCAGAACTTTTCTTTAGTAATGAGGTAGAATATGTTTCTGTCTGTTATCTCTAGTGATGCTACCTCGGTAACCTTTTTCTGTAGTCTACGTAACTGTGTCAGGTTGCCAAATTTTCTTCTCATTTGTACAGCTACTCCGTGTGTCATCTCGAAATCCGCCGAAACGCAACATGCCTGGGAAATGCTAGGATCCATTTAAAATATATTTCCTGATACTTCGCTAATTTTCTTAGTTGGTTTCTTAAGACTTGAATCGGCTTGCAGAAATTCCTGATAACTTTCGGTGATTTGTATGTTTGTAGAAGAGCTAGCTTGATGAGAGCTGTGATCGTCCTGAGGTTCTGAAGTTGATGGTTCTGCGTTGTCTGGATATTTTGAGTTCTCTGCGGCCTTTGATGATCTGGTGACGACTTGATTTATCCGACTTAAAGCATCTGCATTTGTGTTATTAACGCCAGGTTTGTAATGGATGGTGTATTGGTGTTCTTCCAATTTTAAACGCCACCTCGTTAGCCGTGAACCGGGGTCCTTTAGGTTAAACAGCCACACCAATGCTCGATGGTCCGTTATAATATTAAACTGTTGACCAAAAAGGTATGTTCGAAAAGTTTTAACTCCCCATACTATGCTGGCTAATTCCTCTTCAGTAGTATTATAGTTTATTTCAGCTTTATTTAATGTTCTGGATGCATAAGCAATGGGTAGGTCCTTCCCAATTGGACCTTGAGAAAGTACACAACCAATTGCGTAGTTGCTAGCATCACAAGTGAGATTGAAGGGTCTGGTGAAGTCTGGATACTGAAGGATTGGATAATTTATTAGAAGGTTTTTCAGTTTTTCGAATGACTGTTGGCATAGATCACTCCACATGAATGGCACATCCTTCTTTAGTAACGAAGTTAGTGGTTTAGCGATCTGTCCATAATTTTGTATGAAACGCCTGTAATACCCAGAGAATCCCAAGAACGATTTAATATCTTTTACGTTTTGGGGTATTGGAAAATTATGAACACATTCAATTAATTTCGGGTCAGGCTTAACGCCTTCGTCAGTAATTTGGTGTCCTAAATACGTGACCTCTTTCCTCAAAAATTCACATTTCAAGGGCTGTAGTTTTAGATTGAATTTTCTGAGCCTTTCCAAAATTTCTGTGAGTTTTTGTGAATGATCTGGGAGGTCCTTGGCATAAATAATGATGTCATCAAGGTATACGAACGCTTTTAACCCATTCAGGCCTGAAAGTACCTTGTTCATCATTCTTTGAAATGTTCCGGGAGCACCCTTTAGACCAAACGGCATCCGCAAAAATTCGAAATGGCCTTTATCCGTAGAGAAGGCTGTCTTCTCGCGATCTGCCGGGTTCATTGGCACCTGATGATATCCTTGGGCCAAATCAAGTGTACTGTAGTATTTGGACTTACCTAACTGATCTAAGATGTCCGTGATATTGGGAAGTGGAAAAGCATCTCCCACTGTAACTTGATTGAGTCGTCGAAAGTCAACGCATACTCGATACTTTACTACTCCGTTAACATCCGGTTTCTTCGGAACCACCAAAAGAGGAGCATTCCATGGCGAGTCACTAGGAGCAATTACCCCTTCTCGCTCTAGAATCTCCATTTGTTCTGTTATTTCTTGCCGATGTCGCTGGGGTAGTCGGTATGGCTTTTCATGAATTGGGTGAACGGCTTCAGAAGTCTTGATTTCGTGAGTAACGGCGGTTGTTGCTGTGATTTTATCCCCTTCCAATTGAAACACATCAGAGTATTCCTCACAAATAGTAAGCAATGAGGATTTTTCTTCTGAGTTTAAATGGCAGGTTCGCAGGGCTGAATGTAAGCGAGATATTCTGTTCCCATCAACACTAGGTTCTGTATTTTCCAAAATTTGTGATAAGTGCACATTAGCTTCGTTGAAGTCTTCGTGTTCGAGATGCTCTAGTTGAGGGATTTGTAATTGAACTTGATTGACTGTTGGATTAATAAAAGGAACGTATATAAGATGATTTCTCACTGTGGTAACACAATTTCCACAGGTGAGGGCATTGGTAATGCTTTGGCTTGAAATTAAAATGTTTGAACCCTCTGTTTTATTGGGAGCTGGAATGGCAACGAGAATTTCTGTTCTTGGTAGTATGGTTAAATTCACAAGAGGAGGGAGGATTAATTCCTTTGACTGGTAGTCGATTATAGTTCCATGTCCGATAATGAATGGTTTACCTAAGATTCCTTCATTTGGTACTGGGAAATCGGATTGAACAACTTGGAATTCAACGCGTCTTTTTTCACCTCCAATTTGAAGTTCGATAGTGACGGATCCTAAAGTCGTCACAAAATTATCTGTTATTCCTTTGAGTTCGTACACGGTATGGTCGTAAACTATTACTTCATCTCGCAATGATGAGAGTTTGATTAAATTTAAGTCACTGCCAGAGTCGATTAAAAATTTGCTGTCTGTTGGAATGGTCTGAGGGCTTTGACACTGTACATGATCCTGTTCAATTTTCTGGCGAGCCGTATTATTTAAGATATTCCTGCGAATGAGATTGCGGCTGTTTTCAGGCTTCCTGCCGGGCGCCCGCCGTCGGCACTCGACTGCGTAGAGTTTTTTGAATTTTGTGAGGTAGTAGCTGGAGATTCTGCGGATCGCTTTGAATTTACGTATTTTAGTTTTCTGCATTCCTCCTTGGTGTGACCTGGTTTCTTGCAGTAACGACAAGTAATTGTATTAACGATCGCCTTGTGGGCGTTTTGAGGTGTTTGACCATTATTCGGCTTCACTTGGAGAGACCTGCAGTCTCTGGCCCAATGTCCCATTTTTCCGCAATGGAAACAAGGGGTACTCGGTTTCTTTGTAAGTGTTTTTCCATTGTTTTGTTTAACAGACGGTTCATAGAAACGCTTTGACTCGTCGTGCGATTTTCTCACCCTTTCTTCTTCTCTTGCAGCTTGAATCGCTTTGTCAAGAGTTGGTGGATTTCGAGCCTTTATGAAGTCTTTCAGTTTTCCCAATCCTTCGATAAAGACTTGAATGGTCTGTGCTTTCAAACTGTCCTCCAATGCTGTGGCGACTTCTGCGGATTTTCCGTTTGTTTCCTGTTCTAATATGAGTGTCTGTAAGGCCTCAATACGCGATGAATATGTCATTACGTCCTCATCTCCTTTCTGTTTGATAGAATACAGTTCCAAATATAAATGTGGCGTAGTTCGCTGGGGTTCTAGTGACGTTTTTAGGGTATCCTTGAGTTCAGTCCAGGATTGAATCGAACGAAATTTTACTGCGGCCCGGGCCTTTCCCGTAAGCCGAATAATAATGCCTTGGAGCAGTCGCTGCTTAGCTTTCTCATTGGCACACATAATCGCGAACTCACATGTTTCTAGGAACAGCTCGAGATCTTCTTGATTTTCTCCACTGAATGTCGATGGTAATAACTTCAAGGCTGCTTCTAATCCGATGGTGTCTACGGATTTCCCAGATTGTGATAGGATACTTGTGGGTTGTTCTGTGTTGAGGTGTTGATCACTGGATTTTCGTTCTGTCGGGAATCTCCTGTTTCGATGTTGTTTGGTTGTAGAAGGGACCCGTCATCGGCCATCGTGATGGTCTGATCTAAAATATTTGTATGCAAGGTATGGCTCGTATGAACAAGCACGTTATCTACGGAAGCTAAGGTTTGGTTAACGTTTTGCAACAACGTCTCGTTAAATTCTATGATTTCATTGGTCTGGTTGATAAAAAGATTATCCCAAGAAATTTCCGCAACAGGTCGTTCGGATTCTGGAACTTGTGGATTTGCAAACCTAACAGGAAGACTGTGACGTGGAGCAGGGAGAGGGTTCTCGGAGGTTTCCTCTCTATCTTCCAATTCAGGGGTAGGGGTCCTACTATTAGTATCTCCCGTATCACTCATCAACTAAGTGTTAAACAATAACGATTTATGCAAACTACTACTACTGTTGCTAACAGTTAAAATAAATTATTAAATGTTATCACTATTAGGTTTGATGACAGTAATAATAATAATAATAAAAAAAATAAAAAAAAATGTTCAATAACTAATTTAAATTGTTAGTATGTTAGTAAATGTTCTGTTACTCACAACACCGCAAACTGTATTGATGCCGCCATGAGTGTTGTCATTGGAAATGTGCGTTGTTGAAAGGGTCTGGATGAGTCGGGTTGGCTCTGAGTGTTGCCAGTGAAAAGAATTATAAACGACGTAAATCCTCTTCGACAGCTCTTGTTGAATGGACGTTCGCTTGCCCCGAAACTGCTGGCGCGGGGACCACTACAGGTAGTGGGTTTCAATTCGGCTCTGTTATTGTTGATTGTTGTTGTAAACAATGTTATCAATAGTCTTATCAATTTTGATAACTCTTATCAATATTGATAACAATATCGATTGTGACTATCGATTTCGATTTTGACTATCGATTTCGATTTTGACTATCGATTTCGATTTTGACTATCGATTTCGATTTTGACTATCGATTTCGATTTTGACTATCGATTTCGATTTTGATGTCTTACCGTTGCTCGAACTGGTTCGACCGATGTCGGCTTCGGGCGGCGCACCAATGCCACGCCCAAGAATTTGTTGACGCCGATGGTAATAATAGTAATAATATTATTTACGTGATTTTCAGGAATGTTCTGTAGAATGTCTGAATGTTAAAGGTCTGAAATGTCTGAGTTGATCTGGAGTGTTTGAATTTTCTGCTGCTCGTATTTGAGTACGTAGACGCAGTGCGCGATTTACTTAGCTATTTAAACACTTAAAACAAATTTTTACTTTAAGCGTAACACCGGAATCTACGGATCCCACCGCTGCCACCAAAAATGTTATGGATTTTACACACAACACAAAATAAACGTACGCACCAATTGAAAATTAAAATAATTAATGTATTTTTTATTAAAACTGGTAGTAAAAATTAAGTGTAGCTACAATCTGTTATTCGAACACTGGTAATTCTACGACTGACTGACTCCCTGTGTGTTGTCGTGACGGTGCCCCGTCTCACATCAAAAACCCTTATTCAGCGGTTCCCACGGTGGCAGCGTCTTACGACACACACTCTGCATTATGATTGTCTATATATGTTGTTAACATATATAGATATTTAAAAAATAAAATATGTACTGATCAGGGGTTCTTAACATCCTTATGATACACTAAATAATCAACTTTACTCCCCATTCCTCCCTCAACTCCATTACACCCCAAATCATAATCCTCAAAGTGTATCTTCATTTGCGATAAATATATTTTTCATTCTATCCTGCAAAAGTGTTTGAAAGTATTTTTCAGCCTCTGCAAAAGGACAGTCAGTGCATTTTTCGAATCTACGAACAAAATTCCGGCGAAAAAAAGTCCGGTTTACTTATTAATGTTATTAAAAATAATAGCAATAATTTATAATACAATTATTACAATCAATATTATAGGTAGGTACAATAAAAATTAAAATATGACATAATTTTTTGGTCAGATCGATTGTTACTTTTAAAACTTGCTGAACAATCCGGTCCGGATAGGAGTTGATGGCGTATAGTCTTAACGAAGCGCGCTTACCAGATTCAGGTATATGGGACCAGAACTGTGGAGACCTCTCGGGGCAGGCCGCTAAGGGGCGTGCACACGGTAAATAATAGCAAATAAAAAACCGGGGTAGCCTATGACCTCCGAGACAATCCGCACCACCTATTCTTCCTAATGGTGGCGAGTCTCAGTCAACTTAGAAGGATACTAGGTTACGAAAGGCCTCGGAGTAACGCAGGAAATGGTGGGCGCCCGCATAAGGCCGTGCCCTTGGGCGCCCACACGATCAGCTCGGAGTCCCACCACCAATGTACATAGTACTTAGTTCTAGGACGGAGCTACGTCGACAGACAGCCTCCTTTCCGGTCGAGACGCTAGCCCCACTATGGTCAGTGCCACAAGACCCCAAACATAAAGTCGAAAAGCAGACGTAAAAGGAAAGGGCGGTATAAAAGATCGGGAACTGGTCGACTCCCTAGACGAGAAGTCGACGCTGGGGGAAGGCCCCCCCGGCAACAATATGACAAAAACTGACTTAGGTAATTTGGAATCTAACAGTACCAGCGATAGTGGCAGAGGCCCTGCACTAATAACAGCCTATAACGAGGTAGGCGGGGCGCAAGGAACGACGATGACGGAGGAATGCATAGCAACCACGGACATCAGCAGACCTGCGGCGGAACCCCCTGAGACTCTAATTAAAGTCTATCAGATAAATGCGGCAAGGTCAAAAATTGTCATGCATCAAATTGATAAGCTATTAGAATGGAAAGCTGCGGATATATGCCAGATACAGGAACTAGCGACCGATGGCCGAGGCGTTTAACTACTGGACAGGCACCCCTATAAGGTGATAGCTCACGTGAGCGTGCCCAAGACCGCAATCGTAATAGCGAACCAGGCCATAGGCGTCCTGGGTCTGAGACAATTGAGTACCCCCCATAATTCAGTGGCTTCGATCACGATGGGAGACCTCCGGGTAACTGTGGTATCATCATACTTCCAGTTCTCGGAGCCCACCCGGACGTCCGTCAACGCCCTCGAGTCAATCATGGGCAGAGTGAGCGGATGTGAACGCCAGATCCACGCTATGGAATGACGTTAAGACGGACGATCGAGGTAACCCTTTGATAGAGTTCATAAACAGAAACGATATAACAGGACAGAACAAAGGGGCAACCCGCCCAAAGGTTAAGTTAGGTTAGGTTAGGTATCTGTAGATTCGTCGATCATTATTGAAAATAAGTTATTATCCATCATATCAATGAAATTCATAGAGTTGTATTCCCCAATTACGTTGCACACTATTGCAGTTGCTTTGTTTCTGTTACATATAATATTCCGAATAACATCGGATTCTGGGTATATTGTTTTCAACAATGAAACTAAATGATCAGATGTCCGCAATGCTATGTTGTGCTCTACAATAAACATAGCATTTCTGCTTCTTTTCTTTTAACTGCAATTTCCGAAGCAGATTGAAGCCAGTGTGCATTTTATCTAATGTTATAAAAATTTTTATAGACAAGCATATGGATTTGTGTTTTTCATAATTGCCATGTTTTTTTACTGCTGAAATACCACCTAACTAATCACTTTTACAAAAATACATATCACCTTTTATACTTTCTGTTAGGCATGGTTGAAAATCGTCTTCAATCATCCATTCCCTTCTAAATGTATGGGTAAATTTTTTTTTCACAAATGTTTTCTGTTTCTTTATTTGTTTGGCTTCTCCGGAACTACTTATATCGGATTCAGACATTCTTCGGTTTCTTAATATATTTGCCTTATGGGGAACGGAACTGCTTTGTACTTATATCGGATTTAACAGATTTTTTCTAAATTATAATTTATAATAGTATGTGAAGTCAGGGTAAGTTGGCGCACTTAAGGTTAACTTCGAAAAACCTACTATTATAATGATTGGTATTTGCCAAGTAACGTAATTTTATAACGGGGAAAAAAAACCTAACCTAACCTGACGCAACGTTGGCTTAATGTGTATTAAAAAATAACTAAAAACAACGAATTTATTCAAACTGTTAAATTATTTATTTATTCCGAATTAATTATACATTTAATAGTATTATTATTATATTGAAAAAAAAATTTATGTTTACAAAAATGTATTACGTATTTATTGACACATGAACAATAAATATTTGAAACTTTTTTTACTTTTCATTTAATTCTTGAAAACAATCTGGATGTAGAAAAACATTGCACTATTTGCATGAATAAATTGTTTGTGATTGATAATTGCGACATCTTCTTCTTTCATTTTTTCGAATAATAAGATGAAAAATATCGTCCTTTCTTATAGCTGTAGGTAGAGCATTTTTCGAAGGCCGACCCAAATTTGTGTTGGTAATGGATACTGCAGACTCATTGATAGTTTCTTCATTTGATTTTTTAGATAATGATTTTAACAAACTCAAAACAAGTTTTGATCTGTAGTCAAATTGTGAACTTTTTTCACCATTTACCAAATTATAAAACTTCCATGGATTAACCACTGCACTGTCTACTGCGTTGATAAAAAGTGGCCACCACCATTTTTTCCCTTAGACTCTAATCCTGTAATTTGCTATACCATTATCATGCAGATCAACGCCACCCATGTTTTTCATATTTTTTATTCATCTGTTGGTGTATTTTTAATCAAATACTATCACAGTTGAATTAAAAAAAAAAATTGTAATCCAGCACAAAAGAATTGTTTTAATTAATGTTGCGTACACTTTGGCCGTTAATAGGTTAATAACAACTTGTACTTTTTATAATTATTAAAACAAAAACAAAGAAGGCAGATATATCATATAAACCTCTTTTAAGCAAATGTTTAGCTGTTGAAAATTTTAAATAACAAACAAAAATTAATCAACTCTTTTTAAAAACAGTTTTAAATGTACTTTGTATGTACTTATAAAATCAATGTATACAAATTTAAACATTAAGCAATGAATTAATATTAATCAGTCTTGATTATTTCTGAAAACAAAGTATACAAACCTTTTTAAACTATTTTACAAATATTTATATATTATGTTTAATAACAAACTTAAAAAAAAAAAAAACTAAAAACCATATAGTATTCATAAAAAAAAATGTAGGCAGATATATCATTAGATAAACCTCTTTTAAACAAATTAATAACAGCTGAAAATATTAAATAACAAACTAATATTAGATAACCGACTATTTTTAAAATAATTTTAAAAGTTATTTCAATCTTAAAAAAATGCATAACAATTGAGAAATATTAAGCAGTGAATTAATATTAATCAGTCTTGATTATTTTTGAAAACAAAGTATAAAACAAATCATTGGACTATCTTTTTTAAAACTATTTTATATAGTAAATTTATGAAAAACAACTTAAAACCATTTAGCATTCATAAAAACAATTTAGGTACCACCTTTGTATATAGATACACATTTTAAATATGTCTAAACTTAACTAAGACCGCGGCTACGGCGATGGTGATCTGGCTGTTCGCAGTGAGCCGGTCGTGTAGCGCCTGTGAGTGGCGCATAGGTACGGTGAGAATAGAAGGTACACAAGTGTCGCTAAATTGTCCTCGGGGGACGTATATTGTCAGAACAAATAACGACAAATGATGACACAATAAGATATAATATATTAAAGTCGGAACACAACTGTCGTAACGTGGTCGCGTTGATGTTGCGGCTTGTCGCGTTTCGGCGTACGTGCGTCTTTATAAACCGTTGGTGGTCTATATACATATCTATATACAAAGGTGGTACCTAAATTGTTTTTATGAATGCTAAATGGTTTTAAGTTGTTTTTCATAAATTTACTATATAAAATAGTTTTAAAAAAGATAATCCAATGATTTGTTTTATACTTTGTTTTCAAAAATAATCAAGACTGATTAATATTAATTCACTGCTTAATATTTCTCAATTGTTATGCATTTTTTTAAGATTGAAATAACTTTTAAAATTATTTTAAAAATAGTCGGTTATCTAATATTAGTTTGTTATTTGACTTATGTAAGTAAGTTTTACTTTATTATGTATTTTTAATATTTTTCAACTGCTATTGTAACAATATATCAGGAACCTCGTATTAAATTTTCAAGCTTTTTCTCCCAACAAATACATTTTTATTGATATTTATAGAAAAAAAAAAACTAAAAATATTGAATACTGACAATGTCCATAAACAGCTCAAAAAGAGTCAAAATATATATGTTGTTTTTCCCGGCGCTTGTGAAAACTACTGGGAAATTTATACTTTTAACCCACCAAAGTACCAACTAGATTCACTTTCCTATCAGAAAAGCTACTGATGAAGAAAATCCAAGCACTTTTACTGTCCTAAAACGTGATGACAGACACAAAAAATAAAAAATATAAAAATAAAAAAATATAAAAACATACATCATTGTAAAACCAATACATTCATCGCTCCGCTCAGAATCTAAAATTCTAGATAAATGCATGGAAAATAATTTGTATATTTTAAAAAGAAACAATTAAATATTTAACATTAATGAATAGGTACCAGATATACTAATATATATTATTTTAAATAATATTAACCATACAAATTACAGTTTTTGTTGATTCACAAGTTTTAATTTATAAATTATTAATTAAAAAAAATATGTACTACTTAAAGTACATTAAATACATAAAATAAGTACCTACCTTGGTATATATACAGGGGCGGACTGGGAGGTAAACGGCCCAGTATTCTATAAAACTAAGCGGCCCAAAATCCTTTATAACAGTTTCTTTATGAATACCTTATTTTTCGGATAGTGTATCAAATATATAATACACCTATTAATTTGTCTTGTAGTCCAGAGGTAGAAGACCCCAGGATACCTCCTCTTTGTAGTGTAAAGTGGTGTTGGTATATTAAATCTTAAAGAAACCTCAGTATGTTTTTAATTATTTTTAGTTTACTAAATAACCTCTCACACTTTATTTGAATGCACGACAGAGCTAAAATGTATTCATGCACAAGAAAAAATATTAATATTTTCATATTTCAAAGAAATGAGCAATTTATTGACATAATATATTAAACAATAATCTTAATTGTGATGGATATTGTATTTTTCAGAGTTTTATTACATAATACATCCTAAAATAAATATGATTTATTTCAGAATACATTAAATGTTTTAAAATACAGAGTGTAACAGGAAGACCTGACGGATAAAAGAACTTTTGTTCTAATCAATATATAAATTTTTTTTTATAAATAATTTATAGTCACTTGATGAAATAGATGTATAATATAAAAAAATATTTTTTCTAATGAAAATTGGAAAAATTCAAAATAGCCAATCTAGAAAAATGTTTAAACACTTTATACGATTTGGTTGGTACATCGACCGCCAGAAAGTTATTGCTAAACTACAATCATTGAACCATTTGCAAATATTTATTAAAGCTTGAAGTTTATATTAAAAGTAATGACTATAATAATGCGATAATTCTGAAACTGATTAAGATGATTTTGGTTTAATACCAGTATGAATTGTGACTATGAAATAAATGATAAAAACAATAGTAAACAAACATCAAAAATATCAAAAGGATTATACATTTTTACATTTATCATTCTTATAAGTTATAAAATATATAGTATAACTTATTGGCTATTGTTTATTTATAATCTATATACAGGCTGCGACAGGAAGACCTAATAAAAAAAAAAAAAAATATGATGAGTCTAACGTATGACAAAAATTGTGAAATTCTAGACTATAACTGATAAAACCATGATATAAATAACGTGGTATGATTGCAAAAGTCCAGATTTGGTCCAAGTACGCGCAATACGTCACTTGCTTACTCATATTGGCATTAAATTATTATTACTAAACACTACTTTACGTCACGTGCTTACCGAATGATCTGACCGTCAAAAAGTTACGATCATACCTTGTTTTTATAACATGGATAAAACTGATTTTTTAAAATTGTTGGTTAAGGAATTATAATACAAATTACAATATACAACATACCATATGTGCTCATACAGTCATACTATTATTATTATAATACTTATGGTTCGACTATGAACTGATTGTAGAATTGTACCAAACAATAGCAGTGGTTTTTAAACTGTTTCGTATTTAAAAATAAATTTATTAATAATATCGTCAAATGTTCAAATGCCCCAGCGGCCCACACATATAAGCCGGCCCGGTGTGCTGCGGCACACTAGCACACCTGGCCAGTCCGCCCCTGTATATATATATATATATTGTGACATAAATTAAAGTAAAAGATAATATTATTGATTATTAAATAAAATTAACTTCGTTAACAAACGACGTTTACTAACAGCCATGGAATTATTTTTCGTCTTAGCAACATAATGCAAACGAATTTTTAAGTATTCTTTACATACAATTGTCACTAAATCTAATTTATGACTATCCAATAAACTTTCTTCAGAACATCTAATATTTTCAAAAATATTATAATTAAAAACATAATTTTTTGTTAAAATTATTATTTTGGATGTTAAAGATGAGGTAATAGAAATAAAATTGCTTGTAAAATCAATAAGTTTGTGTTCAACAAACCGAACTATTTTAATAACAGCATCTGAGCATTTAATTAACCCTGCTCTAATTTTTACATCTAATAACATTGAATACTTATATTTGTGATTATAATTATGCTCATTAAAATTATTTTCTAATAAATTGTCTCTACAAGTAGAACAGTCAATTTTTTTATTATGTTTTTCACAATAAAACCACATAATATGTAGTAAAGTATATTATCTTTTACGATATCAAAATCTTGGCCTTCAAAGGATTTAAATAATGAAATACTTGAAAGAGGTGAATCTTCATTTAATAAATCATTAGATTTTTTACGCCAACGTATTTCAAAAATACTTTCCGATGTATTGTCAAAAGCCATACAATTAGCGGCATAAGATGATGAAGTTGCATTTTTTAACAGCATTTTTTTAGTGATGTTCTTAACTCAACAACATTAGGATTATTGTTGTTCCCAAGTCTTTGGCGGATTTTAGAAAAGAGAATTTCTATATGATCTTGAGAACATTTATAAGTTAATAGATATTTATATTGGTGATTACTATTAAAAAGATCTTCAGCCATAGCAAATACAGATCTTACGGCAATAGTAAATCCTAAAGAATATATAATATTTTATTATTTAGGTATTTATTTATAACTTATAACTTACTATAGAATAATAATGTTTCAATGAACACTTACCTTTCAAAAAAGTTTTACGTGGCGTCAGATACAATGGTATACCTTTTACATCAGTGAGAGATAGTAGATATTCTATAATTGGCAAAATTATAGTTTTCATACTTTCAATACTTCCTCTGTATAGTGGTTTTTTGAAACCTTTCCCAAAAGGATTTCGAATATTCAAAAAATCAAATAATCTATCAATTGCCCGAATGAAGTGTATTGTTTCTTTGCCTGTATGTAAAATATTAAATAATATTGTTGATTAATTTAAATCATTAGTAGAACTTAATATACTTTTTATAAGTGACAAGTGTATTATTTTTATATTTCTCTTAGATAACAATAAATTTGAAATTACAATTTATAAAATTAGGGTCCTTCAAACTTTGAAAAAACTCGAGGGTGTCAGCTGTTGAAGAGCTTAATGTTTGCGCAGCTAATTTTACCTTCATTATATTTTTTTTCCAGTCCAAATGTGTAGCAGTAAGCTTATTAGCCAAGTTTAATCCAATATTTTCTTGTGCTATGTAAGTAAGCAAGCAATAAGCATAAGCAATTATAGAAGGTTGCACAAATTGACAAAATTAGAGTACTATGTAATAATAATTATTACTGTACTGATGATAGATAGTGCGTATTAAATTATAGGGTCTGAAAAATCAAAACTTACCCTTGTGCAAATTTTGTATATGTTTCCAGTCAATTTCACAGTTATCTTTTGTTTTAAATACTTGATACGTAGCCAAAGCATTTCGAGCTAGTTTTAGATTGTGGCACGCATCAGGTATATAATATATCTAAATGATAAAAAAAAAATGTTTACTATATTATACACTAAATATTATGATAATAATGAAATTTTAATTAATAAATGCCCTACTTTTGTTCAACTCCTGGTATTTGATCGTTGTGGTGTCGTATGTTCGGTGGTTGTGATTGCCGCGTCGTTCACAATATGTGTGTGGCGATGTGTTTTGTTTTATATCTGCGTTTGTGTACGCGTATTTTGCGTGACATTAATTAATCAATTGATTATCGCGTTCGCGTTAACAGAGATCAGCTGGCGGCGGCAGCCGACGACAGCGGCAATGACCGGTTTTCAAGGTTGCGGTCTGCGCGCTGCGTGTGTCACCTAGCACTAGCAAGATTTCCCCTCGTTCCAAGAAAAACGCTCCAAGTCTCGACCTTCACGCCTACATCATTTAATTATTACGAAGTTATCCACTATATGAACCAACTCATGACTAATAATTTATATTACGAAAGAACCGGCCAAATATGGCACACTTTTCTTTCCCGAGCCTACTTCGGAATGCTTATGTATTACCAAGTATTGCACACGATGGACCACTCCAAAATAGGAGATTATAACGTTCGTCTTATGCACGCTCAGATTGAGAAAGACCTGCCTCCCGAACGACTACCAGTTCCAGGACCGCTCCTTCCCATGCTTAAGAGTCTATGCGCTACTTCTCCCTACGATAGCCACTACATAATTGTATCTCCATTTGTTCCCTCCCACCCGGGACCTCGGAACCATGGTGAATTGATTAGTCCCTACGACTACATGCTAGGAATGCCAAACATCCCGGCCATCCTAGGATTCGCTAACTCCATTATTACAGCTCCAGCAGATGATATCCCTGACTATACAAACCAGGATACATTCTCGGATGATGCAGCACACACACTGAACGGACACCTATTCCCTATAGGGCAATGGACGGCTCAAGACAGCTCCCTACTCCTACAACCAGGGTTACACCAGACGCCCGAGACTAACGAAGAACTTGACGAACAGCTCAACCTCTACGGTTCAAAGCTAATGATTCCAATTATTAACGTCAACACACCACTTGTTACTCTCAAAAACTTTACCTGTCTCAGCTCCATCTCATGGATCGAAAACCTCCTTCCTAATCGACCACCAACGGTTTATAAAGACGCACGTACGCCGAAACGCGACAAGCCGCAACATCAACGCAACCACGTTACGACAGTTGTGTTCCGGCCTATATATATTATATCTTATTCTGTCATCATTTGTCGTTACTTGTACTGACAATATACGTCCCCCGAGGACAATTTAGCGACACTTGTGTACCTTCTATTCTCACCGTACCTACGCGCCACTCACAGGCGCTACACGACCGGCTCACTGCGAACAGCCAGATCACCATCGCCGCAGCAGCGGTCTTAGTTAAGTTTAGACATATTTAAAATAAATGTGTATCTATATACAAAGGTGGTACCTAAATTGTTTTTATGAATACTAAATGGCTTTTAGTTTTTTTTTTTTAAGTTTGTTATTAAACATATATGAATACTTGTAAAATAGTTTTAAAAAAGATAATCCAATGATTTGTTTTATACTTTGTTTTCAAAAATAATCAAGACTGATTAATATTAATTCATTGCTTAATATTTCTCAATTGTTATAACTTTTAAAATAGTTGGTTATCTAATATTAGTTTGTTATTTAACATTGTTATGGACGTCTCCACAAGGTGGTACCTAAATTGTTTTTATGAATGCTAAATGGTTTTAAGTTGTTTTTCATAAATTTACTATATAAAATAGTTTTAAAAAAGATAATCCAATGATTTGTTTTATACTTTGTTTTCAAAAATAATCAAGACTGATTAATATTAATTCACTGCTTAATATTTCTCAATTGTTATGCATTTTTTTAAGATTGAAATAACTTTTAAAATTATTTTAAAAATAGTCGGTTATCTAATATTAGTTTGTTATTTGACATTTTCAATTGTTATAAATTTGTTTAAAAGAGGTTTATCTAATGATATATCTGCATACATTGTTTTTATGAATACTAAATGGTTTTTAGTTTTTTTTTTTTTTTTTTTAAGTTTGTTATTAAACATATATAAATATTTGTAAAATAGTTTAAAAATGTTTGTATACTTTGTTTTCAAAAATAATCAAGACTGATTAATATTAATTCATTGCTTAATATTTCTCAATTGTTATAACTCTTAAAATAGTTGGTTATCTAATATTAGTTTGTTATTTAACATTTTCAGCTGTTATTAATTTGTTTAAAAGAGGTTTATCTAATGATATATCTGCCTACATTTTTTTTTATGAATACTATATGGTTTTTAATTTTTTTTTTTTTAAGTTTGTTATTAAACATATATAGTAGTCAAATATAGTAGTAGTCAAATATATTTTGAACAATTATTAAACAATGAAATTCCTATTAACTTACCTCCATACTGGTATAGATATACTACCATGAATGATAAATGGGTTGGATTTTCTGAAATCATTATAAAGCAAACATCAGATGGTATATCACCTTATTTTATTAGAGATATCATCGTTGAATCTACAATGAAAATTCATTGTAACATTTCGGGTAAGCATTATGATCTGGAAAAAATATCAAATTCAAAACAACATATTGAATGTATTGAAGATTTATCAAATGTAATACAATCAATTTCTAAGTATAAACTGTGTCATGGACTAAATTCATGGTACGTATCAAAGTATTTTTCAGTTGCTAGCAGTGTCAACACTAATTATCAAAACCACATTTCATATCTATCAATACTAAATAGCGTCTAATTTTATTGTACGAATAGATGGAAATGGTAACAAATTATTATTCTTTAAGAAATTATAACCTCCTGGAGATCGAATATGTAAAAGCATACATAAAACTATAAAATCTTCAGAATAACGTCTTCCTTTTGAATTTTTAATATAAAATAGTAGAAAAATATTATCTTTTTGTATTACCTATCTTCTTTAAATTTTATTTAATTTATCAAACCTTAGTAGCTGCTAAATTTCCTTAATTATAACTTGCTGGTAATCAGGAACATTGTTAGCTTTAAGTTTTTCAGTGATATCAGATGTCACCACACTTTCTAATTTCTTAACTGACTCTGATAAATCATTTTTCAAAATTTTTATTCTATTTTCTTGACGTTTATTTCTTTTTCTGATGATCTCTGACTTTTTTTGCAATCTCTTATGTTTTTCTCTTTGTTGGAGTAACTTTACATTTTAGTCTTTTGAGTGAATATTTTTCTACTATTTTATGTTAAAAATTCAAAAGGAAGACGTTATTCTGAAGATTTTATAGTTTTATGTATGCTTTTACATATTCGATCTCCAGGAGGTTATAATTTCTTAAAGAATAATAATTTGTTACCATTTCCATCTATTCGTACAATAAAATTAGACGCTATTTAGTATTGATAGATATGAAATGTGGTTTTGATAAACAATTTTTTGAATTGTTTAAAAATCACCTTCAGAAGAAAAGTAGTATGCAAAAACATGGAATCATACTATTTGATGAAATGTCTGTAAAGGCAGGCTATATCTGTATGCTCAAAAACATTGACTTATAAAGGTCTTGTGGATTTTAGAGAAGACAAAAAAAGCAAATAATATAAATGAACAAGCAACACAAGACGTGTGTTTATGTTTCAGCCTCTAGCTGACAATTATACACAGCCATTAGCAAATTTTTCATCCAAAGACCCAGTTATTGGAATAGAGTTGGCCAAATTACTTGTCAAATGTATTATTCTTTTAGAGGAAAGTGGTGCTGTAGTCCATGGATTTGTGTCAGATGGTGCACAAACCAACCGCAAAATGTGGTTGGTATTAGGGATTGATGGAAAGAAAAATTCGTTGAAAAACTGGTTTACACATCCTTTTGATAACAGCAGAAAGATATTTGCATTTACGGACACGCCACATCTAATAAAAAATGTAAGAAATAGGCTATACAATCAAAAAGTATTAAAGGTAATAATTTATTTTTAAATTTTATATTCAATACAAACCTATGTAGAAAATGTTAAATTGAATTTGTTTATTCAAGGTAAATAACACATTAATAAAATGGTATCACATAAAAAGATTGTTTGAAGAGGATAGTTTACATCTTAATAACTTACCAAGTATCACAGAAAAAATGAGAGTTCGACTAGCTACTCAAGTAGAATTTTTTATTTAAACATTTTAACAGACATAAAAGTACAACTCTGTTTCTACTAGGTACTTAGTTCTTCAGTGGCTAATGGATTACGATTTTATAAATCATACAACAAACTAGGATTTGGTGATTCAGAAGCTACTGCAAATTTTTGTGAGACCTTCAATAATTTATTTGATGCTCTAAAAAGAAAATTTCCTTTGGAAGGTCTACGACTTGGTAATAAAGACTTCAAAGTAAACTAAATGCTAATAAAAAAATAATTTATAATTATGAACATTCAATTAAAAAAAAAATAATAAACATTATTTTCCTAGGGTACTTAAAATGTTTTTGGTAATGCTTGATGAGTGGGAAAATAAATATAAGAGTGGTAAGATACAAAAAAATGAATTTCTAACTGAAAGTACTTCAACAGGTTTAAGAGTGACAATACAATCTACAATACCAACCTAACCCATGTCTACCTAATGTCCCGAGATGAGCCTCCCTCGTGTACGACATGTGGGGTCGCACTAACAATAAAACACATTCTCACGGAATGTTTCGCATACCTCGACGCAAGGAACCACAATCATTTATCCAGCGATTTATACGATATACTTGGACCAGTCTTGCCATCACCTGACATATTTGCATTCCTCCAGGAGACCGGATTGGACAAACTTATTTAGCCTACTGAATACTCAACCTCATAATTAAGCTTATTTAATTTAGTCTAGACATTTGTTGTTATTAAAATTTTTCTATTTATCATGTAACACCAATTTGTAAAAAAAAAAATGTATCTTATCCCAATGGCCAAGTTGCCGAGGGTTATTTCTTTAATAAAAAAAAAAAAAAAAATAGACCTTCGCTCTTATTTAACTAAATGGAATTTTAAATATTTGTTCCCGGGTAAAATTAATCAAGATAAACTAGAAGTAAAAATATACAATTAACTACATAACATATTAACATTGTGAGTATATATACCTAATTATTGTACATAGTATAATATCATTTATAGATGTTTTTTGGGACTGTACGACAAGCATCAGGGTCAAATGACCATCTGTCTATGCCAACATTTCTCCAATTGTATAAATTGTTATCCATATACCGGAGTTTGTCGATTGCGTCCCAGGCGCAGGTAAACGATTTTTTGCCCATCTTTTCCGTGTTCCGATTGCGTCCTATTGTATAGTAGGTATGTGACACATAAATTGACAAATTAAATCTTATATTTAAACACGAATTGGTTTTTACTTGATGATTTTACGAACATTTTATCTTAAGGCTGGTATACTCTTATTGATTTACGACCACGTAGCGATTTAGTACGACAAGTGCCTTAGAGTCGAGAGATACCTACTTTAAAGTTTATTGTTTATATTGAAAATTCAAAATGAAGACTCAAAATATTACTGAAAGTATAAGTGAAAAAAATAAAGAAATCAAAGTTATTGATAAGTTTAAGTATCGTTTTCACAAAATGTTGGCCAATGATGTCGAGCGTTGGAGTTGCACAAATAAAAAATGCAAATGTTATTTTGTTTATTATTATTATTTATTCCTACATATTTGGACTTAATTTTATTGGTTTTTGTATTATTATTATTTTATAACACTGATTAGAAATGTATTATTTAATTATTTATTCTTATAAACATATTTGGACTTAATTTTATTGGTGGACTAGAAATGTATTATTTAAATTATTTAATAATTAAAAAATAATTACTAGTTATGACTATTCGTTTTCCAATATATCAATCTTGGAACTACGAATGAATTTAATAGTCCTTACTAAAATCATATTAAAATATTGAGTAATTTAATGCATGTATACTATACAATAGGACGCAATCGGAACATAAAAAGGTAAGTAAAAATAATTTACCTATCCGACTTGTGGACGCAATCGACATGTTACCGGCAAAGTGTTGAATCGGGTATTATATAGAAATCCTAGGTATTCTATAGAATGCCAAAAATGAGCAGTAAAAGTATAAAACACATACAATAACTAGGTATTATATAGATTACCTAACCTCAAGCAGGAAAAGTATACAATCAATATAAAACTTCACCTAACCTTT